TATTTATATTCATTCTATAAGGTGTCTACAAGGTCGCTATTGTTAAAGCCACAGGAAGTGGTTTCCATCTAGTGGCTAACTCTGCACATGACAGCTAGGAAACCTGGCCCCAACGAGGAGCCTAATTTCAAAATTGGCTTGTTAAAATTTACATATTTATGTCCTGGTTTTCTTTGTTAGCATACTAAGAACAACCTGAACCCAGGTTTAAATGTTTTCGTCTTTACCACTACTGATACGGAAACTAGGCTGGTGGCTTCTTTAATTAAAAAAAAAAGGTATATCTTTATAGAAATATAATAATACACTTATATATCTATATATTCTATGTAATACTTATATTTTAAATATTTGTAAACTTGTAAATTGATATAACTGTATATGTTTGGGTGGGGCACAGGACAACCTGTAGGACTGGGTTTTCTCCTTCTACCATGTCATATCCAGAGGTCTGAACTCAGGCTGTCAGGCTTAGCAGCACGTGCCTTTACCCCTGAGCCATCCTACCCACCCTGATTTCATCCCCCTTGTTCCCTAGGCCTGTTAGCGGTGGCTGGGCCTGGGGAGGGGACTGTTGGTTCAGGTACCGAACCCTTGGAGAAGAGCAGTCTTCGCTCATGTGGGGACTGCAGCAAGGGCTGCTGGGAGCATCTGGGTGTTTCCAGGTAACGCTGTGGAAAGGTGTCTGCAGAACATAGGAGACCAAGTGTCAGCCTCCCAGGCTCGGGCCAGGTGGAAGAGCACTGTCGTGAAGAGAGAGCCAGGTCAGGGAGGCTCGGCCTCAGAGTGCCGATGAAGTGGAGTGAGACGCAGCTTCAGGAAATGAGGGCAGTGGAACCAAGCATTAACAGTTTCGTGTACAAATCTGAAGTTTGTGCCTTGAAGGGCACTTTTTAAAGAAAGTGCAATGTGAACACAGAACTACCCCCAAAGCGTTCATGTCATGGAATTCCAAATACTTGACTGTGTGTGTAAATATTAAGGACCTCATGCCCAGAGCATCACCCTGTACAGCCTAGATAGAGCTCCTGGGCTTAGCTGATGCCACCAACCCAATAAATTTCAGAGATCACTGAAAATACGTTTTGAAGCAAGTCTGCTATGTATATGGCAAGCGTCAACTCTTGCCACGTGGGTGGTCTGTTTGCCCTCAGCTCTGGAGTCAGTCCTGCAGAATCATGGTTTAAGGCTGAGTCAGGCACAAAGTCTACCATGCAATTTTGAAGGGCAGGTTTTCAGAGCTTTGCACCTCTTTCTTTTTTCATTTAACGTGCATGTCTAACTTTCCACAGGCTTTGTCTGACGTTCTTTAACTCTCTCTCGGTTCAGGAAACTGGATGACTTGGTAGAGCCACCTCTTCAGAGCCATGGTCTTTCTTGGTTTCTGGGGGTGGTTTTGGACATTAGGAGAGCAAAGCACTCAGTCTTCAGTTGCAGGCCTCACAGCCCGGGCTCTCCTGTCCTCTGTCCTCAAACGTCACAGGTTTGGGTGACAAGGTCCCATGTAGCTGAGGCTGGCCCGGAACGGCCCATGCAGCCGAGGATGACCTGAGCCCTGAGCCTCTAGCCTGCACTCTGAGGGCTAGACTGTAGGCATGTGCACCATCCCTGTACCGCCAGGACCAGTTCATTGCCAGGGCTTCACGTATGCACTCCCAACTGAGCCCCAGCCCAGGCTTGACTGACCCTGCTTTTACGTTGTACAGGCTAATAACCGGCCTTCCTTTGGGCTCCTGACAACGTCCTGTGTCAGTACCTGTGTCCCATGACATCATCTGGGTACTTAGTGACCCATCTGCCACGTCCCCTCTCTCTCACTCTTGGCTCTCTTGCTCCTGTCCTGCTCTCTCCCCTTCTTGGTTAGAGTGCCCTCCCCTCCATCTCTCTCTCTCTCTCCTCTCTCCCTCCCTCTCCCCTCATGGCTCACTCAGGCCCTCTCTTCTGCTTCCTTTCCCTCCAATACACTCATCTTATGTCTGTTGTATATGCGTGACATCCTTTTTAAATACTAACACTCGCTCTAAACATGCCCACAGTGCCACAGTCCTTAGGTACTGCCTCAGCAGACACACACATTTCCTCTAGTTCTCACAAGCAAAGCCCACTGCACCCTGATGTCTCACACGGCCAAATGTTCAAAGCTAGCTTCAGCGAAATACCATGTGTAAAACCAAAAATAAAATAGCCAGGTCCTAGACCTGCCTGGCACAGTGGTAGGTAACTGCCAGGCAGGGCTCTGGGATCCAAGTCCCAGCACCAAAGAAAGAACCAATGAGTGGTGGCAATTGGCCGCTTCCCTCTGTGTTCTTATAAAGAAGCGACCCTTCCATCAGTGTTAGCAGTCACACTTGGTAGAAAGGCAATTAAAATACTGAAACTGTGAAGTGCGAGTGAGGCGTGGCGGCACACACCTGGAAGGCCAGCACTTGGGGCGCCTAGGGCGGAATGCGGTGGCTTGAATGCTCCCCAGTTGGCGCTGCTGTTTGAGAGGGTGGGAGCTTGGGCACTCTGCAGATGGGCTTGCAAAGCTTCCACCCCCCTCCTCCCGGTTCACCCTCCACTTCCGGTGTCACATCTGTGACCATCCAGCTTCCTGCCCCAGCTACTGCCTGGCTCCGGGCTGCTAAAGCCTTCCTGGCCGTTATTACTCACTCCAAAACTGTAAGCCAGAGTAAACGCTCTCATTTAGTGATGTCGGTCATGGCATTTCATCACAGGATGGTGAATCGAGTCTAGCCTGGTGCAGGGCTCTTCTAGGATACATCGTGAGCCCCCCCCCCCAAAGAGAGCCTCCAAGGTTGGTGTAAGCTTTGACGAGGCCCGATAGAAGACTTGTAAAAATACACCAACATTAGATTCTTCCAGTAAACATCCTGTTGGAAACCAGCCAACACCCGGACCCGCTCATCTCCCTGGAGGTTCTGATGGGGCGTCCATGTCCTGTGGATCAGGTCACACCTGCCCCAGCAGTTTGTGCAGAGGTCTGCCTTGGAGGAGGGAAAGCAGGCAGCTGGCGGCCTCCATCTGCAGTCTGTCAGAGAATCTGGGCTGAGGGCACCTGCTTTGTAGAAATACTTAGTAGCAGAGATGTAAAAACCCATAATTGTTTCTTCTACCTACACATGATATGGTAGAGACCATCTTAGGACCAGCCGAATGGGGATTTAAAGCGTTTATCTCTTACAGTGTTGGGAGGGTATTTCCAGGCCCACCCTCCACTGGAAGGGCAAAGCCTCCTTTATCAGAGCCTCTGTGCCACACCTAGGCCTCACTTTCTGCAGCGTGGTCTACCAAGAAACCGCAAACGCTCAGACTCCTGGTCCTGAAACCAGACAACAGAATGGCCCAATCACAGCGGCAGGCCTCTGCTTACATCCCAGTAATGATCCATTGGATGTTACTGTAATGGATGTGCGCACTGCAATCGCTCTGAACAGGCACCAAGTTTGTATGCAGGCAATGCAGACTCCCGAAGTGCCTGAGCGCTCACTGATACACAGCGCACAAAGGGGAGTGCCAGCGGCGCGGGAGCCAGCTTTTACACCTCACTGGACCGGGGAGACTCAGTGGCTGCAGCAAAGGCGCAAAGTACAGTTGAACCCATATTCAGAAAATAATGTCCTCGGCACCTTGAGGGGAGTGGCAGATGTATTAAAATGTCTTCTTAGCCACTGCGGTGGTATGGTTATTTTGCAAGTCTCCAGAGAAATGTTTAGAGGGAAAATATTTACCACTTAAAATTAACAGGGTAGCTAAGTGTTTTCCGTATGTATGAGGAATGTAACTGGATGAACTTCTCGCGCCACGCCTGGCTTCAGGGACAGTCATGGACATTCCCTATGTATCAGAGGTGCTCAGCCTTCTTCCTGCTATGACCTGCTCATAGGGGTGACCCCCAACCCATAAAATTATTTTTTGTGGCCACGGAACTAATTTTGCTACCATTATGAATCATAAACTTTTGGAGATAGAGGCTTGCCAGAGGGGTCATGACCCAAAGGTTGAGAGCCACTGCTCTGTAACTCCCCAGCTTAGAGTCCTGGAGTCTAACAGGTGGCTGGCTAAATGAAGCGGTGCGGCCTGCTGCCATGTTAAGGTTATAGAAGTTTGTGGAAAACAATGTCACACACAGATCTGATGACCCCTTGAGCGGAGCGTGAGCTCTCGTCAGTCATCACAGGCTCCCTTTCCTGCGCTCTCTAGTCACCATTACAAGGGGCTCACTTGCTCGGTGGGTCTTTAGGACTAAGACGATAAAGATGGAAAAGGGGGATGGGGTGGGGCTGGAGAGATGGCTCAGAGGTTAAGAGCACTGGTTGCTTTTCCAAAGGTCCTGGGTTCAATTCCCAGGGACCACATGGTGGCTCCCAACCATAAGGAGATCTAATGCCCTCTTCTGGCATGTAGGCATACATGCAGGCAGAACACTATACATAGTAACTAAATATTTTTAAAATAAGAAAATGGAAAACAGGTAGGTTCAAACCAACCTTCTGTGTCCTTTTCAATCTAACAAAGTAGCAAACATACCGCTCACAAAATGACAAGACCAGAGAGGTCAAGTAACTTGTCTGAAGCCACAGAGCCAAAAATTGGGGAGCTGAGGGTCTTACCTAATTCCTGAGGGCAGCAGAAGACCAGAGAGCCTCCGGGTACTTGAGCGTTGAGTGTGCTACAAGCCCACGTGCAGCAACACGCTGAAGGCAGGCTCCCGGGAAGCCACAGGATGATGCCACGCTAGTGGCCGGCTGCCCTCAGACTCCGTTTCTTCTCCACGTCAACAGCAAGCACACAGTGCGAGGGCAGCAGAATGTCCCGGCAGCTCACTGTGGTTACAGGTGAAGCTTTACACACCGAGCTGTTTTCTTCCGCCCTGGTAGCTGTGATGGCACCAGGGAAGGGAAGGCAGGAGGACCCCTTCGGGCGAGGTCAGCTTTAGCTCCACCCAGAGACAAAAATAAGGATCACCTTATTTGAACAAAATAAAAAAATCACTCCAATGATTTCTCTAAATTTTTATTAAATATTTTTTTCTACAGTTTGATCTTGTGGAAAGGAAAGACTGTGAAGATGAACAAGTCAATTACATTTTTTAAAAACAGCACTTAATCCTCATTACAGAGAAAAAAAAAAGATCTGTGGCACATTATCTTTGGAAAGATCTTTTGCAGATTTTCTTTAAAAAAAAAAAAGAATTCTCTCACAGATCATGTCTGCCTCTTTCAAAGGATTCCACAAGGCAGCTAAATTTTATTCACAAAAGCCAAGTTTGCAGTTCTATTGCTGAAGCTGATTAAAAAACAAAAACAAGGTAATGTGGCGTTTCCCCGGATTTGCGTTGCCCCTCTTCGCTGGGAGATCAGCGCTTCCTAGCCCGCAGCCAAAACCACTGCACTGGTGCTAGCCGGCACCTACTCCACAGGGATCAAGGACTCAGTAAAGGCAGACCAGTGATTTCAGCATCACCTGGGCAACCTACTCCTCCTTAAAGCAATTTTAATCCCAAGATCTGACTTTTTTCTAACATTATAAGAAAGAAAATATATAATATATATAATATAATATATAATGGTAATAAATAAAAAAAGGCAACCCTGCTCAGGTATCATCCAAAACATGATCACATTCAGAAAAAAAAAAAAAAAAAAAAGATTCGGGACACACATGCCCACACCGCAACATGAACAGCGTCTGCCTGATATCATGAGGATGTGCACCACATGGCCTGAGCAAACGGCAAACTTAATACTGCCTGTATTGAGCACTGCTAAGACAACGCGAGTTCATCTCCCTTGGGGCAGCCACTGCCCGGCCCAACAGTGCAGCGTGGCCTGCCTTTGGCTGGCCCATCCCAGTGTCCCATGGACAATGTAGCAATCAATCCACAGGCTCACAGGGAGCTCCAGGCTCCGCCCTGTCCTCTGGCTCCCTCTTGGGTAGGAAAAGAGGCATTCGTCTGCACATGATGGTCACTGCTGATGTCAGGTGCACAGCAGAACAGAATAAAGTGTGAGTCAGCCCCAAGGAACCGAGAAACTGACAGTCGCCTGAAGAAATGTCAATGGTGTTTTTCAGTGTGTCCCTAAGAGCATGGGCATTCAGCAACTGTTCTCAGCCAACGGGGAATCGGCATAATTGGACGGCACACTGCAGGACTGCCTGGCACAAATACCACTTGCAGATTTTGAAGGAACATCCCAACACCATGCCCTTCTGCCCTTCTGCCCTTCCGCAGAAGGACAAATTAAAGGCACAGGAAAAGCCCTCACATCCATTATTTCCAAATGGACCAAAACCAACCGAAATAGGCAGGAGAGGGACATCAAAGTTGATCATAGCATCTCCACAGCTCAGTGAGAAAGCCTATACTTCTGTGTTTCTAAAAGGAGCCCAAAATATTCTTAGGAGATTTAAATACTCTAACCGGTGGTAAAGATTGAAACAGATGAAATGGTAAATTTTCAAAGACATTTTGTAGTGTTGGGGAAATGAATTATTAAGAAAAAGAAGGAATCTGTAGGAGGCGTGGAAAGATTTATATATATTTTAAAGTGTATATATATATATATATATATATATATATATATATATATATATATATATATAGACCAACTCACTTCAAACTTCACAAAGCAGGAAAGTAAACAGAAAACCTGTGAAACCACTTGACGCTGTGGCAAAATGAACAGCATCACTTCAGAAATTACATTTGGTACAAAGGCACAGATCTGTCTCGCCAAGCCTGCCAACCCTCTGCCATCACTGAGGCGCACAGTCATCCTGACAGTTTCCAAACAGGAATCGTAAAACGAGAGTCTGTCCCTACCATCAACATGTAAGGTATCAGCTAAAGCACATTTTCAATTACGACAGGGAAGAGTGTGCTAAGCTTCCTAAGACCTACCAAACACAGATGGGGCTGGGTGGGGATGGTCCAGTCTGTCCAGGGAATGGATAAGACATTTTTGTCAAAACATCTACAAAATTTTTTTTAAAGAAAAATACAGCTATTTCCCGTACAAGTGCGAGGGACCACTGGCTAGCGCTTGCTCGCCTCTCCTGTCCTGCTTCTGCATGGCCTGCCCTCTTGGCAACCCGATTTAGCAGCGTTGCTTTTTATGACAGAGCAGGGTTTTTTACATGTATGAAATTTTACTTATTTCCAAAATAGAAAACATTCAACACTTGGGAAAAAGTGTGTTCCTCTACTTTCTATTGCAGACAGACGGGCACACACACCCTTTGTAGAGACAAAGGCAAGATTGATTTATTCACTCCTCACCATGAAATAAATGTGTGTTCTCTATGGTTATCAGAGCATCACACATTCAAAGGGTTCATTTTATAGTCCTCCCAAATTAATTTGCCTTTTGGGAACTGACTGTTAGCATACAGTGAAAAGTGCAAATGGCTTCAAAGAGGCTTCAGGTTTCTCCAGTGAAAGCAAGACCAGAACTGACCAGAGACGGCTCTCCCGCTTCAGGTACAGAGTTGTGGGAAAACCAGCAAGAGCTTCACACCAACCTGATACAAATGCAGCTGTCCAACTTGGTTAGTTCTCAAGATACAAATCGTAGTATACAGAGTTGAGGAAACACGTCCATACCAAGAATGAGGCAGCCCGTTCTTCCTGCACTGGTGAGTGCGCCCAGTCAAGGGGCACAGTGGTCCGATGGTAGAACACACACGTTCTCAAAACCCGCCGCAAGGATCATACCCATTCACAACTGACAGGCAGCCATGCAAGAGGGAAAAGATCCGAGGTGCCCGCAGGCCAACTCTGAAGAGGTGGCACAGCTCGGAGACAACCTCCCACAAACTGTTATCTGAGCCGCAGAGAGAAAAAGGGCTTTGCTTCAGAACATCAATAAAGAAACCTGCTGAGCCGGGTCACAGCCATGGCCTATACTCAGATATGCACAAGGCTTTATCCAAACCAGGATAAAAGGCCGAGAGGACCGAGGAACACCGCACAGAGAGGAGCACACACTGTGCCCCAGAAAAGCAGGCATTGCACTCACCCAGAGTCCCTGTGAAGACTGACCAAGGTGCCAAGAGAGTCTCTGTCTTACCATGGGGACCACAGGCGCCCTCGCTAAGGAAAGGTGGTCTCCTGTCTCCACTGATCTATAAATGCGAACTCACAAACATGGCTGGCAGGAAGCAGAGACAGTGAGTGGGTAAAAAACCAGTTACCTCCATGTGAATGCATGTGCAAATTCTACTTTCTAGAAGGAAAAAAACAAAACAGAAAACAACCACTGCACTCAAACGTATTCAGCGATGACCTTCAAAGGTGCAATGACCAGCCTGTGCTTAGAAGCAGGTGTGAATTCTGGTGTGTTCTCACTTCCTGTCAGTGATGCTAACGTATGTGGACGGGGTATAGCCATGAGGTCACGGGTCTTCCCAACCTCATCAAATCGTGACACCTGAGAACATGGTCTGCACGAAGCTGTATGGTAGTGGATTTTTTTTTTTTTTTAAGTTGAATTATCTGTCCCCTCCCCTCAAGTCTCCACATCTTCACAGGGGCCAATGTCCCCTGGGTAGTCAAGGGCTTTAGAAAGTTGAGTTTTGCTATAAATATAAAATATTTTAGCAGAAAAATACAGCCTCTCTAGGAAGACTTCACCTTGCTCTCGGGTTCACGAGCAGCCACAGTCCCGTCAGCACCTGGATCCCAGCTCCAGCAGACGCGTCAAGTGTGTCAGCCTCCTGCCCAAGCTGGACACGGCTCCCTCTGCCCAAGCCACACCACGCCGAGCATGCTGCCCGGCAAGTTCCTTCCCCTGAGTGTGGCAGGAGGAATTGTGAGGCCTCCGGAGGTGTGGGGAAGACCGCACGAGGGCTCCCAGATCTAAATGCTGCCCCTCTGGGCTGAGGGAGGCTTTTCAGCAAGCACAGCCAGAGGGACCAGGGCTCGACAGTGTGCAGGACTCCAGGCACTGGGAGGGACACTCCAGACGGAACCTCTGGGTGTCATCAGAGCCACTGTTCCCTGCAGGGGGAGGAGCGGTGGAGTGGCCTTCACTTCTGCTTCACAGGTGGCCACTAGAATGGACTAAATGTTTCCTTTAAAACACGAAAAGAAAAAAAAAAATACCCATAAAACCCTTCACCAAAAAATATTATTCAAAAAATAAAAACTCCTTCCAGACATGAACTAGTGTGGCTACTGAGATGACAAGAATTTGTTGTCAGACTTAAAACTTGTTCTCTTCCTCTCATTTGCAATGTGTATGCTATTGTTCAAACAAACAAACAGAAAAATCAGAAATGTTTCTAGACCGTTCGTATGCCACTCAGGCTCCACTGCACTTCCGCCCTTCCTTCCGGAAAGGCAAGATCACTTCCCGCCATCCGCTCTGCTGACCAGCGTCCCTCCGATGGCCACACAGCTCCTGTGAGTTAAGACAAGCATCCTGGCAGCTCATGGTGCTTCTCTTCTTTGACACGCCGCTCAGACTACGGTCCATACTGGATCAAGGTTTCTGCTTGAGCAAAGACATCCCGAGGCATCCAGCCAGCCCGGCCTGCATTAGGGAGTTTTGGAGGTCTGTTTCAGCCGCTGCAAACCCTGTCTTATGTAGTGCACCAGGTCCACCAGGCTGCTGTTGAGGGCCAAGATGCGTCCTTTTGTGCTGAGCTGAGCAAAGAATTCTGCAAGAAAATGCAAATCACACTCAATAAATACATGTGCAGCGTCAAACTAAGACAAAAACACAAACAGTCCTCATCCAGTACGATCCTTGCGTGCCAGCTAATTCTTCAGTCTTCCCCTAGATTATAAGCCGGGAACCTTCTACACAGAACCAGTCCATAACTCATGTCTTGCACAGTGACTGGGGGTCTCAAGTGTCCAGCTGATGCACTGCGGTCCAGGAGTGCGGGAGAGGAGGGGGAAAGACAAGCCTAGTTTGCCAAGAAGGGAGAGAGGCTACAGAGAACTTAGAGCTACAGCCAGCAGGTCGGGGTCTTCCAATCATGAAAAAAATGTAATGTAATGGTATTCACGTGCATGTGTGTGTATGTGTGTGTGCGTGTGCGAATAGGCTTTAACTCAGTGGTGTTCCCATGTCGTGTGTGTGTGTGTGTGTGTGTCTGTCTGTCTGTCTGTCTGTCTATGTATAAACTTTATTTGGGGGCTGCTGGCATGGCCTCTAGTCACTTCCCCTGACTCACACCTTGGAGTTCCCGCTCCTTCCCCAGGTGCCCTGCTGTATGTCTCAGATTGCAGCTGCTTCAGCTCAAGTGTGCTGAGCCGAGGGAGGGGCAGACCACACCTCTGCTTCAGTATTTCAGTTCAGTGATGCCAACATCTGGGGAGAGGCTACCACCAATTCTGACTTGGCCCGAAAGGATCCAGCCTCAGAAATCTAACTCACACCTCAGACCTCATGGAAGAACTGCAGCCGGGCTGCGAAGCCGAGTGGGGAGAGTGAGGCTATCCACTGCTTTTCTTCATGAGACAGAACAGAAACGTGAACCGCCGCCCCCCCCCCCTCTGCCGCCCCCCCCCCCCCCCGGCCACGCTGCCTGTGCCGCAGAGCCCCTCACCTTTATTTTTCCTTGCAAGAGCCTCTGCCTGTTCCCAAAGGTCAAAGGCTTTAAGGACATGGGAGGTGATGGTGACATAGGAGGAGGTCATATTCTGGATGGCGACTGGGGTACTGACGGTGGCCGTCACCCCGCTGCTCCCCATACTGCCAGCACTTGACTGGGACCCCACGGAGCTGGCAGGAGAAGGCATTGGGGAGAGGGGGGGACGGAACACCCGTGCTTCTGTAAGGACGGAGAGAGACTTGGTTAATCGCATAGACCAGGTCAGGCTACGGTCTCTGGAACTTGGGTCTAAATCTCAGGGTGTGCTCCCCAAAACAGTAATCGCTGCTAAAGCCACTCCTACGAGATCAAAGGCATCTGGAAGACTGGCCCACTTGCCAGCACTGTCTGAGCCTTTGCCAATTCCTCCTCTTCTGGACTCCTCCCCGACCCCCTCCTCCCACTGCTGTGAAGGCAGCAGCAACAGCGATGCAGAGCAGGGCAGTAAACTGAGGTCGGTAGGCGTCACTGAGCCGTATCCCCGTGTGTGGTCTGCTCTCCTCCGATCAGTCAGCAGTCCACCTGCTCAGACCTGACAGAGTCCCGCAGAGCTACCACTGAGCATCACCACTATGCATTTATCGTCCTTCCTTTCCCTGGGCCAGAGCACCACAAAGGCACGGTGCGTGCCGCCTCCAAAAGCCCCTACCGAATCAGTAAACAGAGACATGGGGCAGACCAGCAGCAGGCTGGGCACGGGGGCTGTGACGGAGGAACCCAGACCTCACCCTGACCCTTGGCTGATGGCCTAGGTCCTACGTACTCACTCACTTCAGCTGGGTCAAAGGAAAAGAAAAGTGCAATCACATCAGCGTGCAAGGAGGCAGCAAGCCGCTGCAGAAGCGACCTGACAACCAGGAGTTGCCCAGGGTGGCCGCCCTGGCAGCCGAGAGGGTTGGAATAAAGATGCCACCCTAGCTAAATCACAGGGCGACGACACATTCACCTAGACTCAGGATGGCTTTTTAAAAGAAGCCACATTAAGTCCCTCGTTTCTTATCGCTGGAAGTGGCTCTGTGTTATACTTAATACTCTCTAAAAGCATGGCTCAGGAGAAACACAAACAAATAAGAAGCAAAACAACACATGCTGCACATACTTAGGAGGCTGAGATAAAAAGACAACAGTTTTAAGGCCAGTCTGGGCTAGACAGAGTGAGCTCCTGTCTTAGAAAACAAACAGCACCCAGGCAGGACCATGAACAAATGCATTCCAACCTCACCTTCATCTTAAAACAGCCGACCCCCAAGGTGGTGGTGGTGACGCCTGTAATCCCAGCACTCGGGAGGGAGGCAGAGGCGGGGGGGGGGGGGGGGGGGGGGGTGGTGCCCTGCTCAGCCCATCCTCAGGCACTATGTTAATGTTGTTAATCTCTCACTGTTCCTGCCTTCTCAACTGAACTGAAGATGCGGTTTGGGGAAGGCTCAGCACTAGCTGTTTTCATGCAACCGCCTGGGAAGATGTGCTTATTGGCTGGTCGGACGGGATGGCGGACCTTGTGCATTATCTTGTCAACCTAAGTTTAATTCACCTATTTCTCAGAGGGACACAGCAGCTAGCGGCTTAAGTTTAAAGATGAACTCTGGAAAACTACATGAATTCTGGAAAACCCAAAGCCACACACACAAACTTACATAAGCAAAGCGTGACTTGACTGTGTGTCAGTTAACAAGAATTAACACCTGCCTTGCCGTGCACGGAGAAGGTGCCTGGGCCACTTTGGAAGAACTCTTGAAGTGGTCAGTAAGCGTGCGAGAATACTTCATGACTATGTCTTTTTTACATCGAAACATCGCCATGTTCAGCAGAGACTGGCAACGCAAGCTGTGAACAAAAACAGGTTAAAATGAATTGCTGGGTGACCTTGACCTTATGGACAGACACACTGCCAGCCCACCCTCTGTGGGTGCACTGGTTCTCTCTGGCCATGGCAGTCCCCTCAAGCCTCTCACTGCATTGTACGCTGCCACCAAAAGTAAGTGCTGGCGGGAAAACAAATGCACAAACATCACTTGAATCCTAAGACCAAAGCACTTTTTCCCCCGAGACATTTGAAGAGCACAGCAGATCCTAATGACCACTGAGTGGGATTGAGTTCCCTCCTACCCTAATCTTCACTTTAAGAAAATTAATTCAGACCCAAGCATGCTGGCACACATCTTTCATGCCAGCACTGGTTGTTGATGAGGCAGAGGCAAGAGGATTTTTGTTAGAGGCCAGCCTGGTCTAACATAATGCGTTCCAAGACAGCCAGAGCTATAAAGAGACTTTGTCTCAGGAAAATAATAAAAATAAAATTAAAAACATTTGTTGGTATAACGTCCTTTTAAAATATATACACCTTATCCTTGTTCATTTAAATGCTGATTTATCTCCCCCACTCTCGGATTTCAATCACAATTGCATTGTGATACTTATTCTAAGCATCACCTGTCTCAACTTTGTGTAAACATGCCAAAATAAAACAACCAGCCACAATGTTGAGCAATGGAAAGGAAACAGGAAGAGAGGAAGGAGCCAGAGGACAGGAAGGTTGGGAGGCAGAGGAGGAGAGAAGGGCAGGAGAGCTGGGAGAGCAGAGCTGGAGGAGAGGTCTTGGAACAATGTGGAGAATGAACCGGACCTAAGATTTCACTAAAAGCAAGTATAATGTGGGAAATCTAAATGTTAGGAAACTATAGGGCTTGGAGGTTTAGGATGGAGTAACTATTGCGCAGCATTGTGTTCTAGGTTAATTAAATAAATCATAGTCTCTGTGTGGTGATTTGGTTATACAGCTGTTTAGGATCAACAGCATCGTTACTAAAAGATATATCAATAGTAAATAAATATTAATCGCCACCTACAACAAACATGTTTTAAATCAAAGAAAACAAAACCAAGCTTTAGTACTAGTTATACAAATAGAAATAACGTCCACACCATAAAACTGCAAATATCTTCTCTTGTGCTGGCACCGAGGTATCTGAGAAGGACTTTAGTGACATCAAGAACCTGCAGAGAGATAAAGCAGTGCAAGACATTAAACAAGGGAGGCCCCGGGGCCCAGGTCTGCTGGCTGTGTTAGCTCCATCCAGAAGAAGGGAAGTGCAACACAGAAGGGCAGGGCTTAAGAGCAACTGTAAGCCCCTCACAAGACCTGGGCCCGAGGCCTGCTCCCCCAGGCGTGGCCACAGTCTCACTAGACCCTGAAATGCAGGGAGCACACCCTAGAGAAGACATCAGATGTGGAACCTGAGCAGAGCGCCCTCCCAGGCTCCCTCCGGCAGGTCTGGGAGGTGGTGGAGCACCCAGCACTCACTTGATGAGGTCCACCGTTTCCGAGTACACAGCAAATGCGGACTTTGCCGAGCTTTCGGACTCCATGGCCATCCCACACTCAATAAAAGCCACGACAGCCTCCAAATACTTGAAGGCCTTTCCGGCCTTGTCCGCCTGTGGAAGAAGAGCATACGCTACATGAGGCTGCACACGGTTCTCAGTTTCAGCTTCTCCCATGTCTGCACTCCCAATGAAAAGGTGTGTGACAGAGAATGAACAGAACAAGCGGAACGGCCACAGCAGTCAGCTCTGACCCACAGAAAGTGTCTTCTAGCAGACTCACCAGGAAAGAAGAAAGAACTCCGTACTAGGCCGACACTGCCGTCCAGCGGCTCACTAAATACCTTGAGACACACGGCCAGCTCACTGGCTGGACAGATACGGGGTTCTCCAGGGAGGCTGAGGTTCTAAAGCATGTAAGTGCTCGCTTGATTATTCGGAGCCCAACGAACTGTTAATTCCCTTTGGCACCGTGGCTTTGTTTTCTTTTATTTTGTGAGACCGGATTTCTCCATGTAGCCTTGGCTGTCCTGGACTCGCTTTGTAGACCAGGCTGGCCTCGAATTCAGAGATCCGCCTGCCTTAGCCTCCCAGAGTGCTGGGATCACAGGCATGAGCCACCAAGTGTGAGCCACCACACCCAGCTGGCACCTTGGCTTTCTACGGACAGAGATCCGCCCTGGCCAACAGGGACGGGCTCTCGAAACCCCTTCAGAGATATGTGGAAGTGTAGACGTGGAAGCAGACCGGAAGTCTGCCTGACCCCGAGCACGCGGCTGGCCCCTTGGGCCTCTTGCAGGCAGATGGGACTGTGGTGTCTGCACTGCACGCTGAGAGCGGCCACCTCCCGGGGGCCAGCTGGTAATTTCTGCTAGCGCTGCCACTCGCCAGGAAAGCGGTAAAGATACGCGTGGCACAGGAAGGCAATGACACATCAATCCGTCGGAGGCTGCTCGCGTTACCCCGCCGTGGCTGTCTGTCCGGGATGGCAAACAGCTCTTCCCTGCTACTGCTGCTTGTGAGTCTTAACAGTGGAGGGGCAAAGCGGGGTGCTGCGCACATACCTACATTTCAGAGGCTCGAAAGCTCTGCAGCTTTTAGGAGTAATTTAGAATTTTTTTTCCTAGAAGGCATAAGCTCAGAAAATTAGTGACGGAATAAGAGCCAAACTAGGACGCATCAGTATCTCCATCAGCTGTGTAGGTGACTGTTGGCTGCACTGCCGGGACTTTCATTCTCTTACTTTCATGTGTTTGGGTGTTTGCCTGCATGTGTTACGGTACCACACATGTGCTGTGCCTGCAGAGGCCAGAGGAGGGCGCCAGATCCTCTGGAGCTGGAGTTACAGAGGCCTGAGCTGCCTGCCCTGGGAACTGGGGACAGAGCCAGGTTCTCTGTAGGAGTGACAGGTGTTCCCAACTCCTGTGTGCAAGCCCAGGACTCAGTTCTCAAACCTATTTTAAAACAAGTTTTCTCGGGGAATTTCCAAAACTAGCATTACCCTGGGTACAGAAATGTAGTGTCATCCGACAGTCCAAGCGCACTTCCTTAGGTACCCTGCAAGGCTAACAGTGGCACTCCCGGCACAGTGGCACAGATCTCCTGAATCAGAGTTGCCAGGCACAGCTGGAATTCCCTCCTCAAGAAGAGTCCGGTGTAAAGATGAGACACGCTCCCGTGTTCAGTTGTGCACTTTACCGCGTGGAGTACCAAATGCACAGCTCTGCAGAGTCATGGAGTGGATAAAACCTAGTAGCCAAGGGGCACTTGCCAAGGGGTCCAGAACTTGGGGACTATGCAGGTGGGTGGCTACATGATTGAGGCCAGTCTGGACCACATCAGATCTTATATAGGAAGAAGAGGAGGGAGATGCTAAGAAAATGAGTGGATGGAGGCCACATACAGGGTCACTAGGGGAACTAGCAGATTCTGAGAATACCTTCACAGGGAGATGCACCTGGTGTAAGGAGCTCCCGGCACCCTGGAGAGGAAGAAGCAGCGAAACAAAGCTCTCTGGAATATCAACTAACTGTTTGAGTAATGAGGTGAAGGGGTCCCCCTGAAAATCGAAAGAGCCACACTGCTCCCATGCTTCCTGGAAAGTGGGAGAGGCAGCAGAGAGCACAACACTACACGGCCTGAGCAGAGTAGTTTCAGGCCTAGGACCACAAGGGCTTGCCTCGACTCCTCACAGTACGAGGTGACAGCATGGGAGGTGACCAGGGACCATTTTATCATAAACAGGGGCCTACAACCTGGGACAGAACGGCACAGACCAAAGTCCCCATGGCCACAAGCGAACAGGTGAGTCAGGCACAAAGAGCCAACAGGCCTGCACGTGGGTCTATGGGACAATCAGCTGAGAGGACCAGCAGATACAAGCTCCAGGGTCTTCAAAGTTTAAATATGATGACGGGGGCTGAGATGGCCCGGCCGGTAGAGGTGCCTGCTGCCAAGCTTACTGCCCCGGCCTGACCCTCAGACACACACAGTGGGAGGGGAGAACACATTCCTGAGAGTCGTCGTCTGACCGTGGCACAGATAAACGTAATAAAAACGATTTACATGAAGAGCAAGGGCAGATGCGGTCCCACCATGTGTGCAGCACACAGCAAACCCTCCCCCTGCAGCCGCTCGGTGGCGAGCAGGGGCAGACAGCCGTGGACTTCGGGCACGCTTATAGAACCCGCACGGTCTTCCTGGGGCCAACCATCCCTTCAGATCTGTGCGCAAGATCACTCTGAAATGCAAACAGGCTTCCTCACCCTGCACAGTGTTTAGGGTGGACACGGACTGACTTAACAATAGTTCATGCTGCACATCTAAGAACTGATGTCCCCTAAAACATCCCAGGCCTCAGCCATTAAGACCCTGATTATCCTGCTTACAGGGGGCTAACAGCAGCCCCACTCCTCGGGCCCCCCCGCCTAGACACCCCGGTATACGGTCCTACCTGCTGCCCTATCCCAGAATATACAGACACCACCCCAGCCGCTGCCCCACCCCCACAGTGAACAACATGGCAGAACGGGACCACAGATGTGTCCCTTAGTCAGGGGCAGCGTAACCAAGGGCATAAAACCACGACTGACCATTGCCTCAGCTTTGCACTTCAACTTCTTAGCCTCCTTCATGTGAAAATCAGCTTGCTGTCTGCAAAAGAGGGAGAAAAGGCAGGTGTGGGTCACACAAACAAACAAACTACCTGGGGCGGGGAAGCGACGTGGGCATGCCGGGAGCGGGCACCACTTACCTGTCAGACTTGCCTTGTGGCTTCCCTGACTTAGAGTTACCGTTTGGCAAAGAAGGCACTGGAAAAGGATTTGCAGCATCTTCAGAAGATCCCTTTAAAACACATACACATGGCCCTCTTAGCCAGAAGGGCCCATGCAGCAGCCTTCCAAAGCCAAGGGAGCAGCCGGGGTGGTGACTAGACCCATAGTCTAGCTGGACAGCACTACCCGCCCACCACCGTAACTGGCGCTTTGAGAGGAAGAGGCGATAACACACAAGCGCAGTAGCCTCCCTACCCGACACACAGCAGCTGAACTGGAAACCAGGACGCCTGGTTCACTTCCCATTAGGATGGGGAATCGACGTCTTTGAGATTAAAGATCCAGACCACAAACTGAATGAACCCATTCTTAGGCCAAGCATCTAAACAGCTAACTATAAAAGCTAGGGTGACATTTTTCCTGTCTCTGGGTCACTTCAGGAAAAACAAAGCACCGCCCCCGTATTTTTCTGTAATAGTAGCTAGCTATCTTATCATCTGCTCTTTAAAAACAAAGTTGACGTGTGAAGGCATCAAGCATGTCCACATGTCCACTGCCGCCACTTACTTTGTGCTCAGAGCCCCTGGCCTGGACTTTTCTGTGCTTGGGAACAGAGGAGTCCTTGGAGCTGCTCTTGGTACTGCTGGCACTTCGGGGAGGGTCCTGGCTACAGGTGTCTGCATCCGGCTTTGACCGCTTGTGTGCAGGTTTGCTTGGCTTCTGGGAGGAGGAAGACGAGGAGGAGGAAGACGAGGAGGAGGCTGACACAGGTAGAGGAGGAAGCATTTCCTTTCTTGAGGACTCTGAGGAGGGCCTGGGGGTCCTGGAGTGCAACAGTCAAAGCAGAGCACACGTCACAGCTGTGCTTGCTTATAAAGGACAAAATGGCCACCAGTACAGCAGAGTGCAACGGCATGGAGCGGGTAGTCATGCTGCAGAAGGCCGGACCTCAGGGGCTTTCTGGAGCTGGAGTTTTCACTAAGCTGAAGACTTGCTCTAACCATTTCCACCGTTAGCTTTCGCTGCTCACCTGCCTGTAGCCACCCCAACAAATAGGCTCGCTCAACTGTCTCCCCATATCTGGTGGCATGTTGTCCCAGCCCATGCCCACTCTCCTCAAAATGCACTTGCGATGCGCTTGTGCTGTGTCTCCTCTGAGGCGAGTTCTCGACTAAACCCAGAAGTCAGTAACAGTCACCTTGTGTAGCCACCCCACCGTGACACCACTCCTCTCCCCTGTCCTTTCATTCCTCTGCCGCTCACGGACACGTGAGCACTGCACAGTTCAAATAAATGTGACAAAGGAGGAGGAGATGGTGATGACGCTTTACTTGTCTGTCTGCCTGCACAGCACCAGGGGTCAAAGCTAGGACCTCACCAGGTTCCTCGGCCACTGAACTTCATCACTGGCTCCAGGCAAGAGACAACGCAGCGGCAGAGCACGCGCAAGGCCCTAGGTCACCGAGAACCACTATAAAAAGGGCTTCTAAAGGGAAAAACTAGCTTCAGGTGTCTAGAAAATGCTCAAAGTTTGCTGCCCAAGGAATGAACACACCAGTGCCCCGGAACAAGCCACCAGTGCCCTGGTGCAGAGGGAAGCTGGCGCAGGCTGTCCCCGCCTGGCATACTCACTTTGTTTTGGAAGATTCTGTGTGGGAAGAGGAAGACGATGCAGTCTGCGATTTGAGTTCCTTCTCCAGTCTGATTTTCTTGCTATCGTGGTCTTTTTCTGGGTCACCCTGTTGTTGTAGGTAATAAACAGCCATGTGTTTGAAACCATCATGAAGACACAGGGAAAGGGAGGTACAGACACGGCAAAGGGGCCCCAATGACCACTGGAGACATCTGTGTAGATAGCATCGTTATGTTTATGGCCCGCACGTGGAACAGGTATGTTCTCATGCTGGGGACTGTGTGTGATGCAGGTAAAGAGCGCAAGCTAGCAAAATAATGGGCCTCGAATGGCACTGTTGGCCTGCACATGCTGTACCCTGATCATTACCTGGCTGCCCTGATGCTTCTGCCTCCTCTCCTCTTCCACGGTATCCCTCCCTAACTTTATGTCACTTATATGTATGTCTCTCTCCTCCTTTCATGTCACTCCTATATGTGTATATATAGCCCCTCTCTTACTTTATGTCATTCAGACGGACAGACAAAATACAGATATATCCCCTCTCCTACTTTGTCATCCGTGTTTGTGTGGTCCCTCTTCTATTTTATCATATATATAACATATATATATACACATACATACATACATACACACATATAAAACATGTAACTTACACATACATATTATATGAGGTAAGGTCTGTCTGTTGTGGTTCTGGATGTCTGGATGTCCTGAAACTCACTGTGTAGACCAAGCTAGCCTCAGACTCACAGAGATTCACCTGCCTCTGTCTCCCAAGTGCTGGGATTAAAGGTGTGCACCACCATATCTGGCGTGTCTTATAATTTCTAAGTCTAGGTTCTTCAGAAGAGAAAACATGGGATTTATGTGAGTCTGGCTACTTTGGATGATTTCTAGTCCCACTGTTTCCTGAAATGAATGACTGCATTCTTCTTTATGGCTAGTAAGAAACTCTGGGATGTTCGAAATTTGCTGTAGTTTCTATTGAGACATATTTTACATGAAGAAAGACCATTCTTCACACTCAGGCCCGGGGATAACGAGAGGACAGAGATATCAACACATTACCCTGTCTCCATATACTTAAGGCCATTATTATTATGCGCAGGGACTCGGCACCTAAGCACACGTGTTCACATGCAGTGACAGGAGGTGGCTTCACGGAGCCCCCTCACTTCTCTGAAATGAACCGTCCAGTTGCAGCACTAACTCATATGTTCACCCTTCAGTAAAATACTTAAAACGTCTCTAGTGAAAAAGAGCAGCCAGGTACGGTGGCGCCCACCTGTTATCACAGCACTTGGGAAGCAGAGGCAGGCGGATCTCTGTGAGCTTGAGGCCAGCCTGGTCTACAAAATGAGACCAGGATAGCCAAGGCTACTCAGAGAAACCCTGCCTTGCAAAAAGAAAAAGAGGAGGAGGCAAAAAGAAACGGAAAAACAACAGCATTGTTGAAAAAGAAATCGGCTAGATGGGCCGTCAACAGACTACAACTACACACACAGACCACAGAGAAGAATGGGCCCTTCGGGGTCTGACTGTCTGCCTTCTACTGTGTCTCAACCTCCACACCACATCGCCAGAAGAAAGAGATTTTTATTTTTCAAAAGAGCTTCATTAGGAGGTTGAGGATACAGCCCAGTGTTCTTGCTGATCAGTGAACTCTGTGCTAAGTGAGAGAACCCTTCTCAAAACAAAGATAGAAAGTAATTAAATGATATGATCATGACTCCAGTGGGAGCAAGGAAAGGAAGGGAATTTAAAAAAATAAAAATAAAAGATTTAAGTAACTCATAAGTACCCACTTATACAAAGAAAATGCTGTGTGTTTTAGCATTGAAAACACAAGCGTTCACGATAAGAGCCATCCCCACAGCTCATTGTCTTCACACACTTGCCCTGCGAAGAACCACACAGGACGGCACGGCGGCATCCTCCGATGGGGCACAGTGCAGCAGGCGCCCTCTAGAAGCTGGTGATATGAGCAAGAGTCCCTCATCTCCCGAGCAGCGAGAGCAAAGCTCTTGGCTCTGAGTTCCCCAAGTTAGGAATCCGGCGCACACAGCCAGTCTACAAACAACTCCAGATCCTTTGTGCCATAAAGGAAGAAAATGCTCCAGGTAATACAGGAGGCCCAGGTTCTCACCACTCACCACAGTGACTGGTGGTGGGAGGCCCCGGTTCTCACCACTGCAGTGTCCTCATCCAAGGAATATTACTAGATCTCTCCAGGAAGCATTAACAGATGATTATGCACGGGGCCTCAGAATGCTTACAGTGAAATTTAGATGTGGGAAGTGCTGGCATGCACAGGATTTTGGTGTTGGTGTGACACGGCTGGCTCTCTGCTCAGAACGATGTTTGCATATGCACATCTCGTGGTTAATAACAGCAAAGACAGACTCTGCCAAAGGAGCAGTAAACCCCTTATCTCCTAGGCTCCCACTTGTGCCTAAACATCCTGCCGCCAGAAGGCCCAGAACTCTACACTGAAGGTGGCAATGACAAAGGCAAGCACTGAGAAGTCGACATGTAGAGAAAAGTGAGAATTTGCTCACCTATACAGACGAGATTCACTTACAAGCTGCTGACATGTATCTAGGTAGAAGAGGAGACCAAACACAAAGTCCAGACGAGAAGAAGAATCCACTTTTATCTGTGTAGCTTCCGCTGCTTGGGATAGGCTTGGTAGCACAATAAGCCACACACACACCATCTAAGCCACACATGGCAAACGAGCTTCAGAGCAAATCGCTCCCCGCAGCTGAGTATAGCTGGAGCCTCCTGCCAGTCACAGACACAAGAGGAGACTGCACACAGCCAATCACCAGACAGCTTCGAGGCCAGCATCCTGGCCTTGCATTTACACTTTACCTCAACCATTAGCTTTCTATGGGTTCTTCAGAAATCAGAAGCACAGTACGCAATGCCTGCTAGAAAGGACGCCTGCTGCCAGGCTAAACAAGCAGAGACTCCATCCAGTGCGCTCCATCCCTGTGTGCCGTGCACTGGGACAGCAACTCCTGTTGGGAAAGGCCCCAGCTTCCACAGAGCACCAGGGGCAGAGCATCTGCCCAGTAGTGTGGAAACTAAGGACAGCAGCCAAGGGGGCAGCAGCCATCCGGGGCAGGGTCATACGGGAACCTCATGAGGGTAGACTAGAGAGGGCCAAAGTGGGGGCCACAACAGTGGGTGTCGGGAACTGAGACATGAATTCCCCAAGCAAAACCCATCCAGTTATAGGAGCCATGGGCTCTTTAGCTTTCCCTGGGTCAGGAAGCCACATGAAAGTCATGTGAAAGCAATATATTCTTTAGAAGGGAAGAAGGAAAAAAAATCTCTCCGGCAGGCACCCCACTCTCGGGAATGTAGTCAAAGGTCTGGGGATTCCAAGCTTCTTTTTCTAGGAAGACAACCTTCCAGTGGCCCTGCGCCCTCCAGAGGGGCTCAGAGCTTCCATTGAGTCCCAGAGCACTGCTGGCTTTTCTCAGCCTGCGGTGTCAGGCATCAAACTCTGCACCACCTACAAGAGCAGAGCAAAGGGCAAGAATACCATAAAAGGGCAAGACAGGGCTGTGCGAGCAAGGCCCTCCCTCGGGTGCCCTGGTGCCCACCTTGCACTGGCTCGCCATGAAGGTGCCTGTGGTTCAAAGGGAAATGAAGGCAGCATTTTGAAAACCTGACAGTCACTTAGGGCTACAGGTTCTGAATGGGGGAAAGATGCTGGGAGCTTGGCCATGATGGAGGAGACGAAACGGTCCGAGGAGGAACCTGGGATCCTGGAGGAAGAGTGTGCGTGGGCACTGGGGTGGCAGCCCTGGATGATGGAGGCACGGAGCCAGGAATCATGCTGTAACTGCCCTAGTGAGTGTAATCAATACATTGATCTTGAACTCTGACCCTGTGCCTCTTTCAAGAATCTTCCCAAGAAGACAGGTGTCTATAGAAAGATGAGAGAGGGGACAAATCAGGAGACCTGGAGGGGCATGCACACACGCAACTACTGAGCAGCCCTGAGATTCCTGTGGATCTCAGTAAGGGCAATGGCTAGGGGACGGCTGCAGCTGTGCCAACACACAGGAAGCGAAGGAGCCTGGTCGGTGAAGCAAGAAAGAATGGAGAAGCTGATGGTGGAAACTCTGAAGGAGGACCAGTAAGAAAAACGGCATAGAATCCCAGTCCAACTTCTCACTTCACACCACCAGAAGACTTCCTGAGAAGACAGGAAGAAGCCCAGGCCGGCTTTCCCTGGCTGGGACAGACAGACAGACACACAGACACACACAGACAGACAGACAGACACACACACACACACACACACACACACTCAGGCTTAAGTCAGCCTCCGCTACCTCATGGCTGTCATTAACAGCCAATAAACAGGAAGAAATTCCAAGGCAGCACATTTCACACTCTTCCCCTTTAAGGACAAAATTTGGGGTTAGTAACCTGGGAGTTGAGGGCAAGAAAGACAGACAGCTGGACTGAGGATGAGTATCAAAGGCAGAGCTAGCCATCCCAAGTGTAAGCAACACACCTTTTCCGTCACACACAGTGACTTCCCTTCTCTGTCTACGTGAATGAAGGAGCATATAAATACACACATCCCCAACCCAAGGTGACGGGTTCTTGGTTAATAAAACAAAGAGGAAGGCCCCAGTGAGCTCCTTCATCCGTTATTTGCTGAAATAAGCAGTGAGAAAGGCCATCTACTAATTTTAGCATACAACTGTAATCCCCACACTTGGGAGGCTGAAGCAGGATTCTGGCTTCCAGGCCAGCCTGGACTACCCAGTCACATGATCAAAAGAACACCAAGTTATTTGAAGGGCAACCTCCAGGGGAACAGATGGCACCGTCTACAAAAGAGGCGAGCACACAGTAGGGCTGCACGTGAAGACCTGCTATCGTGTAGCCTGATGTCCCCTGTGGCAGTCTTCCACACGTCAGAGGCAGAGTTCTAGCCTGAGAGAGAGGATACTGCCACTCTAACCTCTAACTGCAGTCAGTTGCTTCGGACAGGTGCACTTCCTTCGGCACTTCCTGCCTCGGAAACTGTTCCTGCCCCAGTTGTGCAGCTGCCATGGCTGCTGGCTTCATCACCGCTGACCCTGCTGACCCCTCCTTATTGGCTGGTTTTTGGTTTTGCAGGCCTGAGGATTGAATCCAGGGCCTTAAGAGTACTAGAGAGGTGTTCAAACACTGAGCCACATCCATGTAATCTCTTGGACATTCTCATGAGTTTAAGGCTAAACATCCTTACAGACTTGTGGATCCTCTGAGAAATTTTGCTAAATTTCATAGCAGGAAGGAGAGCAGCTCTCAGGGACCTTTAAATAAACTGCAATCACGTGAAGGATTTGGGATAGTCTAAATGTCTTTTCCTAGTATTCACGCTGAAAACGAAGGGGTCATCACCACCTAAATTTGGGAAACTATCTCCAAGTTAAGGAGAAATCAGTAAACCCTCCGGCCCAGAGCCAGGTCTGTGGGTTTGCACCCCAGGCAGCCCACTGGGGCCAGGGAGGCCTGAACGGCAATCAGCGCACAGAACGAGTGACACTCACAGCACGCCCCACCCCTGACTCCAGGAACCAACACAACTGAGGACACGGGACTCTCAGCTGGCTTTTTTTATGCATGTCTATCTCGAGGCTTCCCTGCTGGGTGCTAAGTAATGAGAGGCTTCCAGCAAGGAATGTCTTCTCCAGGCCGTGCTCTCAGCACACCTCCACAGTTGCTCAACCCAAGCATCAGCTTGAGGCAGCAAGGACACGTTCCACTGCTGCCAGCGCCATGAGCATCGGTTAGCATTGCCTGGGAATGGGGGAGGGCGCCCTGCTGTCACCAGGTGACGGTGCTGAGACTGGGCCTATTGCAGCAATATTTAAACCAACGGGGCCCGTCTTGTGCATCAGACAGGCAGGCTTCAGGTTCACTCTCAGTTTTCTGCCAGAGCTTTGCGTATAAAATGAGGATATGACGTTCCAGGTTGAGGGGGAGGTTCTTCCTGTAGATATGAGGGAGAGGCATCTGAGGACAAACACGACAGCAGAATGAAACAGGCCATGGGGTGGGGGGAGAAGAGAGAGGGCCAAAAGGAGGGGCTGAGAGCCAGGAGAGGGCATGGCTGAAACAGCAGGGTTATATGGGGAGCTGGGCTTGAGAAGCTCCAGTTTAGGATAGGGAGTGGGTGAGAGCAGCCAGGAGGCCAGCACCGCTCTAAGCTCTAACAGGTACCCGCTGCAATGCTACAAGCCTGGAGGCCAGCGCTCCCTTTGGTATGCTAATCGGCACCACAGTTAGCATCTGTCCTGAGTTTCTTTTGGACCAGACAGTTTTGAAGAACTCATGTGCTCAGTTAAGATGAGGAAACTGTAACTTCTCCATGTTCTGAACAGAATGCTTCCCTCAGCCAGACCTAAAGGAGCTTCCCTTGAGCTATGCTTGGAGGCTTGGCTCCCTCCTGGCGCAAGCACTGTTCTTGGAGTGAGAGGGAGGAGCTGGCCTAGATCCCACTGAAGGCTGGGTTTCCCTATGACTTCAGCAACTCTATCTAACCAGGGGCACACTGGAGACAATGTCCCTCCATTCCAATGGAGAGCAGAAAAGCAGACAGAGCCAGAGACCACACAAAGTAAAACCAAGGCGGTTAAGACGGGGAGGCAACAGGACATACGCTGGCAGGAGTGGGTACGCTGGCAGGGCTCTAATTGGGAGGCAGACAGAGGCAGGTGACCTGAGTGTGAGGTCACCCTGGTCTACCAGTGCATACTGAGACTGCAGGAGCTGCACAGACAGACTGTCTCACCCCGAACCCCACACATAGGGCCTTCCTGACACAGGACTCTACCCTTCTGTAGCTCAAACAGCCCTTCAGCAAGCTCCCCAAAGGCTTTGCCTACCGAGGATGTAGCCACTCACACAGGCTCTGGGGGGTAAGCCAGCTGGGCCTCAGACACGAAGGTAAGCTACGATCTTCCCCGCTATGCCCAGCCCTCACTCCTTGCTGAGTAAGACAGCGTTGACAAGGAGTGCTGAATCTCACCTCTAGTCAGCAGAGGTGGCCCTTTGTGTGCTTTTGTGTCACAGTCTGGGTGGCTAGTAAGAGTGGCCCTCGGCTCCCTGGTCTTTCCTCATCAGGGAAAAAAAAGATCGGGCACGCAACAATTTAGAATAAAGAAGACACTGTCCAAACTGGCAGAACTCTAATAGGAAGTCTCAAATAATGCAGGTTCCCCTCGAAAACTCAGTAAACGGTAATGCTCAGGAGCTCACTTTACTCAAGATGTCTCCCTGCCTGCTTGAATAGTTCTAGCAACGAAGCACTCGGTCATGAGTTAGCACAGTTCTTTAAAACAAATCAGAATTATCACTCCAATCCATGGGAGACCTTGATTGCCAGGGCCAGGTGGGACATGGCAGAGAGTAAGCAGTGGTATCCACGTGCATGAAACTGCCCTCAGAGTGCCGCAGGGTGTGGAAAGCTGACTTCCGCAGGAACTCCAGTGATGAGCAGAATGAGAGAGAGCCCTGGAGAGGCCGCTCAGCAGGGCAAGGACAAAACTACAGCTCAACGACCACTGGACGTGAGGCACCACTGCAGCCTACACCGCCAGGCCGTGGCCCACCCTGCTGCAGCCCACGGCTGTCTCCGCACTCACCTTCCTCTTCTTGGTCATCCTCCTGGAGCTGTCGCAGCTCCTCTTCTCCAGGTCCTGCTTCTTCCCAGCCGGCAGCTGCTTGTCGTCTGCTTTCCTGGGGCGGCTCCCCTTCCCCAGGGGCTGGGGAATCCGAGTGAGAAGGTCAAGGGTGATCTTCACCACCAAGCTTGTCGGTGGTGGCTCGTCCCTGAGCGGCGAGAGCAGTTTGGTGTCTCTCAAAGGCAACAGGAGTTTGTCTTTTCCACCATCCTCCTGGACAATGACAGCCTGTCGGCAGCCACTAGTCCTGACGCCACTGCCCCTGCCACTGTGGAGTGAACCCTGGCTCTGGGTCAAGGAGACAGGAGCAGAGTGCTTGGGGTTGCTGTCCCCAGCACTGTCCTTTGGGGCCTGAGGGCCTGGGAGGGCCTTGGAGGGGGCTGGGGAGCGCTTATGCTTCCTCTTCTCGATGGGCATGGGCCCGGCTGCCTGAGGCATGGGCGAAGGAGCCTCGGGCTTCGGCTCCCTACTGCCCACAGCACGCGGTCTGCCTTTCGTCTTCACCTTGGGTTTGTCTTTGGAAGTCTGCTCTTTTGAGCCATAGGGAAGGGGTCCTGGTTCGCTCTCCACCTGCAAGCTGGCCTGGGGCTCTGCCTGGCCAGAGCCCTTGGTGGGTTTTCTGAGTTGTTTGCTGCCGAGAGTTTGCCGAGGCGGGGGCTCCTGTTGAGCAGGGGATTTCTGACAGCTTCTCTTCCCAGGCTGTGGCCCCTCAGAGGGACCCCGGAGAGCTTTGCTGGAACTCTTGGGGGAAGGGTCTTTGGATTCAGGATGCTGCTGGTCAGTGCTGTGGTCACCACCACCCTTACTTTCCTGGCGCCAGCGTGGAGACTCCGTGCTCCCTCGACCCTCAAGGGAAGCGGCGGGCTGGCTGACTTTGGTCAACCAGTTGTCCAGCTGCCATTTGTTTGTTGTTGTTGGAGGCTCGGGCTAGAAACAGACAGAGAAAGGTGTTTGCTAATCAGGGTTGACAAACTCTTTTGTATTAGCAGTCCAATTACATAGGACCGTCCCCAGGAGAAGTGGGCATTCTCAGCCTAGGAATTTACCTCTATACTCTTCCCCCTCAAATAAAAAAATAAAATAAAAAGAATACTTCAGAACTAGTTGGTAAGAGCTCTGTTGATTCCTCTTACTTACTTAAAAATAGTCATTTATATGTGATGAGGTTATCAATATAACACAGACAGACCTGATTTCCTTTACATAGTGAGAGAGAGTAAAGTCACATTATCAGGGACTAGTCCCTCCTCCATCCTTTTACTACTGGCAACGAGGTCTGAAATTACACCTTTTCCTAAGCACAAAGAGAAGACCCACAACAAACAACCTCAATTATTACCCAGGAAACTGACAGGCCATGTGATTCACATTGTTGTTGCTAAATTAACTATTGACACACGCCACACCATGAGACATTTGGCCATTCTTTGCTTTTATGTTTTTTAATATTTTATTTTGTAATTTGTATTATTCGTTCTAAAATATTTTCATTCTGGGTTTTATATATTTATACAATGTCTATCAATTATATTGGGAGAGGGGTGCGTGTGTGTGCAGGTACCTGCAGAGGCCAGAACAGGTGCTACAGGGAGCTGTGAGCGGCCGGGTGTGGCCTTCCCCTGGAGCAGGATATGCTCCTGATTACTGCCCTGCCTCTCTCACTATCTGAGCAATCCTATGAATTATACAGAACATGGAAAAATACCAGGGTTGACAGAGTGAACGAGGACTATGCTTCTTAGAGCATGCCGTCCACCCCCAACTTGCTGTTTCCCCTCCCCCCAAGATCCGCTCTTACTGGTGGGTTGAATGAATAGTTAAGTGATCTCCACAGAGCACCTAGGAATTTACATCTACTCTTTCCCCTCAAATAAAAAAATAAAATAAAAAGAATACTTCAGAACTAGTTGGTAAGAGCTCTGTTGATTCCTCTTACTTACTTAAAAATAGTCATTTATATGTGATGAGGCTATCAATACAGTCAGAGAGCTAAGTAAAAGGCATTACACACATGATTCAACTGATTAGATCATGGATAAGGCCTGTCCAGGAGGCTGGGCCTAACATGATTTTCTTAAGCGTGGTTTAAGTTGATGGGGAACAAACTGAGAGGCTTGTCACTGAACTCTATCCCTCAGCCTCAGGGCGGAGCTTTTTCAAAGGGAAGATGGCTGACAATTTTCCAAAGTAAAATATGCCAAATAATCCAACTCTGCAAAAACATGTAATTCTAACATAAAACATATGGTGTAGATGCATTCATTTGTCAGGCAGAGCTTAGAAGTAAAATGATCTCGGTTTCCTGTGCTCATTAACAGAATAGCACCCCAAAGACTGAGAAGCCAGCAGGGTTCCCTGAGACAGACAGCGGCTGGTATCCTCTCTTCTGTTTACCCCACTCTGCTCCTGTGGTGACAGTCGCGTCCAGTCTTCTCCATACGCCATCTCATCCAGGTGCTCATCTGAATTTCATTGAGAGGGAGAAGACAACTACTCTAATGTGTGGGGCATCTTATCACACGGAAATAGAAACATATTCAATATTCTGGCACGCACGGTGCCTGAAGCGTGTGGAATACACAGAGCAGCACAGTACCTCCTTGCCACATGACTTCCTGTTTTGACTCAGGATGTGGTAGCACAATGATTAAATGATCTGATAAATTTATAAGGTAGAACACCCTGGAACAAAACCCTTCCCACTGTGCCTTGGGAAAGGCTCATAGCTACAGCCCAATCCCTGACAAGCTCCTTAGAATGTATATGTGTGAATCCAAAGGGAAGAGTCCTTCCCACAACCTCACCCCTAAAACAGGAACAACGAAATGTATTTAGTAGTCCCTAAAGGACTGTCCTGGTTACAGAAATAGAATGCATTTACTTCCACTGTGGTCTTGGAGGTCCAGAAGGGAGCCCTATGGCCCACTTTCATGGTAAACCTGATGGGTATACTCAACAAGGAGAAAAGCAGCATGATAGCGCTTCCTCTATACCCAAATGAAGCTGCAAATGATATAGCTGCTTGAGGCTAGGAATTATTTGGATTGAGATGTTTGAATAAAAGATTTGGTTAGATCAGATTGTAATGCTCAAACAGAAGTGCCATATAGGATCCAAGTCTGGCTTTTTGTTTTCCTCCTCCTTTTCCTTATGTGCTCTCTGTTCCTCTCAATGGTAGCTACACTTAAACAGTGGAAACTGGGAAGAAGAGAAAGCATGAAGAGTGTTTTGTTTAACAGTGCACTTCCTGCACATATGCCTCCACACCAGAAGAGGGCACCAGATCCTAGAGCACATAGATGGTTCCGAGCCTCCATGCTCTTAAACACTGAGCCATCTCTCCAGCCCCCATGGGGAATGTTTTGAACATAATACATATGTGACTATTTTAGAATGAGTTATGGTTCAAAAAGTCTTGAGGTATACATAATATTTATGTACTTAAATTGCACAAACATGATCACCTGAGCCTGATGCCTGGAAACACTGTAAAGGTGATGCAGACAATTGACTCTACAAAGTTGTTAAGCATGCCCACATAAACACATACTAAATAAGTAAGTGGGGCATGGTGTGGTACACCTTTAATCCTAGCAGAGGCAGGTGGATGACTGTGAGTTCGAGGCCAGCCTAGTCTACAAAGGGAGTCCAGGATGGCCAATATCTCACAGAAAAAAAAAAACCTGTAGATGAAGAAGAAAGGAGGAGGAGGAGGGAAGAAGGAGGAGGGAGAAAGGAGGAGGGAGGAGGAGAAAGAGAAGATGAGGACAGAAGAAGAAGAAAAAGGAGAAGGAGGAGGAGGGGAGGAGGAGGAGGAGGAGGAAAGGCAGACTGCTTCCAGTTTACAAAATGAGGTCCTGGCCACCTAGAGCTACAGAGTAGCTCAAAAGTAATTAATTAATTAGTAATTAAAAACAGAAGTGGGTGAGAACATTAAAGCTTGTGTGCAGTTGATCATATAATTCATGTTATTCACGAGGTGTGCATTAACTACCTGAGGGGACACGAAAGCAAACCAAGACAAGCTCTTCCCAAGAGAGGGCCTCAGGCGAGAGCGCTGTCCCCACACAGACATGGCGTCTTCACTGAATTATCTTTAAAAATGTGAGGCAGGAATAGTTAGTTTGCACCTAGGAAGTCTACCTTGATGGACTTCTGTTTAGTTGGGGTTTTTGGAGCTAGGGTATGGTAAGTAGCCCAGGCTGCACTCTGGCTTCAGGATCCACAGTGTCGGCTCTATAGATATGCGCTGCCACAGCCAGCTTTACTGCAGTCATGCTTTGGACAATGAAAAATAATTTACTTATAACAGATATAGGATAAAACCTTTTATGTCCTGAGTTGACTGAGCCGAGGCCCTAAGAAGTCACAGCCCAGTGAGGAATAGGTTTCAAGGATGCAGCCAAATGTGCTTAACTTAAACCTTACTGGACTCAGACGTCACTGTTTTCTGAGTATTTTCTGCTGATAACCTGACAAGCATGCACACTTTTCTAATTGAGGAGCACAGGGCTAAACACAGCTGAGAGGCAGAAAGTGTGCTGAGCAGGACCCAAGAGAACAGAACCACGACAAAAGCCCCAAACAAAACAAACATCTCATAGTGAGCATCACAAACGTGGTCTAGCAGCACGGTCACCACCCTTCCCCCTAAGACCTAAAACCATTTCCATACAGTCACTCCACAAGAAGAATCGAGACCCACGGAGTTGTTTTAAACTCTAAGGGGCACGTCAAAAGCCACTAATGCTGATGCATGTACATGAACCTCAGAAAACAAACTAGAGGAAGCCCCCAAATGCCTATTCTGTGCTTGGCACAGAGCCACACCTAACAGCACCGTGCTCACGCCTCAATCTCTGCCACCCTCATTAACAGCTCACAGCACTGTGCTCACACCTCAATCAGGCCCTTGAGGCGAACAGCCCGATCTCTAGCTGTGTTTAGTCACTGTTCTAGCTAAACTACCATCTTGCAGAGATGGACACAGAAAACTTTAATGCCCTCTTACCAAGATGCCTCCTTCCCTGGAATTCTAGTCTTAAATACAGAGGCCGTGTTCTCTGTAAGGATGGCCTCTACTAAAAAGAAAATAACAACACCTCCCCTTTTCATGAGCTCAGTTTTTCAAATGTCTGTGTGGGTGCTGAAAGCATGTGGCAACCCTGTTAGCTGTTACAGACCATTTCTGGTGTTTAAACAGCACACTGTGTGAATTCTCTAGGGAAATGTAGGCCCCAGGCGTCCAGTCTCACTGTTTTTTATCTTTATAGTACTTCCACAATGTGGTGACAACAAACTCAGCTGTCCCTACTGTACGGACCTGTGGCAGGAAGGAGCAAGACAAATCATGTTGCCATCAACATCAGAACTGATGACTTGTTCCTAGATTACGTTTCTTTCATTTTCTTTAACTTACAGATTCCTGAATTTTCAAAGAACTTTCACTGACACTAATACAGTAACCTGCCTAAAACAAGTTTCCCTTTTCAAAAGAGAAGAAACTGGCTGTGCATTGGTGGCACATGCCTTTAATGCCAGCACTCTGGGAGGCAGAGGCAGGCGGATCTCCATGACCAGCCAGGTCTACAGCAAGAGAGGGAGGAAGGGGGTGGGAGGGGGCGAGAGAGAGAGAGAGAGAGAGACAGAGACACTAAGTATTCCAGGACAGCCAGAACTACAGAGAAACCCTGTCTTGAAAAACCGGGGGTGGGTGGGGGTGGGGAATGAATAAAAGAGAGAAAAAGAAGAAACTGGGGTGGAAGCAGCACATAGCAGCAAAAAGGAGCCTGTCATGGCTGCAAGCACTAGCTTAGCAGAGAGCAGAAAAAGCAGGCTTCACGTGGTGGGAATGCTCAGTCTCCTCAATGGCAGAGTCAGGCTCTGACTAGAGCCTGCATACCGCCATCTTGGATGCGCCCTAAATAGGCACACCGCCATCTTGGCCGTGTTCTGATCAGGCACACCGCCATCTTGGACCGCGTTCCGAACAGGCAGCGCCCTCTGAAGCGGCCCACGGTACCTCGGGAGCTGGGGCTTCCAGGGGCTCGTTTTCCTCGCTGTCGCTGGAGCTGCTCTCACTCTCCGAGTCTGAGGAGCTGTCCGACTCGCTGCTCTCCGACTCCGCGCTGCTGGAATGTGCCGATGCCACGGGTTCGGGAAGCGTCTGTGGAGCGCTGCAGGGCAAGCGGGGGCGACAGTTAGAGGGCCACCCACACGGGCTTTCTTCCCCCGCGGCCTCTGCCCGCTATCACTGCCGGCGTGTCACGGTGCACAGTGGTCACCAGGTAACTGCAGGGGAGGAGCTTGCGGGACTCCACTCCTCAAAGATTCCTCACGCTATGAGCTGTTACCTCTGCCTGATGCCTAGTGTCAAGGGCCTGCACAGCCCCTGCCAGGGTCTCCAAATAAAGTTTTATTAGAACACGCCTGCACGTGCTGTCCCATAGGCCACCACTGGTTGCTTTCATACTGCAATGGCAGAGTCAAGGGGTTACCACAGAGTCTCACATGTCCCACAAAGGCTAAAACGTTTACTGTGTGGCTCAGGAAGATGACTTGCTCCCACTCAATATAACTCAAAAGAAGTGTAAAAGAAAAGCTGGTGTGTAAAACCTCCCTCTCTCCTCTACTCGGGACCTAACTGCACAGCATCTAGGCGTTACTGAACAGAGAGTGTTCCTTGGCAGGGTGAACTCAGAAGTGGCCCAGTCTTTCTTCCTGGTGGAATTACACAATGGGCCATTCTTTATGACTAGCTGAGCATGGACAACTCCAAGTTTTACAAGGAGGCCATTAACTCGAGGTCAATGGGAAAACGTATGGATCAAGGTTAGACACAGAGTTTCAGACCATGTGCAATCTTAAAAGCTGTCCTAAATGGTATCACCCAAAGCAGAAATCTTTAACTATAGCCTTCAGTGTTTCCAAGCCTACCTACAGCATTCTCAAAACAAACGCTTATTAAATAATGAGTAATAATTTAAAAATTACTGGCTGGGGTCATTTCAGAGCAGTGTCCTTCCGTTCTCATAGGGCTGGCTCCATCAGCCCCAAGCCAGCTGCAGAGCCTGGCCAGTGACAGGGGAAGGACACGCTGTGAAGAAAACTCTTGCTCCTACCTTCTCCCTGCCCTCTGCTTTCACACTTGCCTTTTCCTTGGCCTTTACATTAGACCAGTTTGTCATATTTTATGAGTTAGTATGAGGCACTTGAAATTTTAACAAAACTGGATATAACAGACAGGTTGGGTGATTGTGTAACCAATGTTTCACAATGTTAATAGCTTCACCATCACTCCTGACACTCAAGTTCTTTCTGGTGACTTTCTCTGCAAGCAGCTGAGCAGTTGGCGAGGCAGCAAAATGGCTTAGGTCTTTGTCTATGAGGGAACCGGTATTCTTCACTTTAAATCATCACAGCTAGTAACGGGGAAAATACTGTAAGAATACCTAAAAAATGAGTTTCCACTTCCCAGTCACAGGGCTTTCCTTTTGTAAAGCAGGTCTGATTCACTTCAAGGTGAAGTAGCGTGGCCCCCTCACATGAACTGTCCTAGGAGTCAGGGTTTAAAGCAGCGGGAACTAAGAAAACAGCGCCACCAGGAGCGAGTTTTGGAGGAATCAGTATTGCTGACTTTGAAGACACACTTATCCAACAGTCTGGCAAAAGCTCTGGCTCTGTTGTCTGACTTGTCAAACCCTGGTGACACAATGCTGATAAATCGCGCTTCTAACTTACTTTTAAAAATATTTTTAAAGCCTCACTCTATAGCGCCTTCCGGCCTCTAATTTTCTACCCTCTTGCCTCAATCCCGATCATGCTTACGCCATCATACCTGGCTCAGTTGGGAGTGTGTGTAAGTGTGTGCACATAAGGGTGAACATGCACACTTGTACACGTGAATCCATGTGCATGTGGAGGCCACATGTGTCTTCTTCCACTTTTGAGGCAGGGTCCTCGTGGACTAGGCCGGATGGGCCGACAATGCCAGGGAACCTGCCTGTCTCCTGGGGCTGTGCAGCCACACCCAGCTCCTAGTGGGTGCTGAGGGTCCTTGCACACACTTTGCCAAGCCCATTCTCCAACCCCAACATCCAACTTAACATCCAAAATGATGCCGCAGGTGGTCATGGGGCCTCTTCCTCTTTTACACCAGCTGACTCAAGTTTGTAAATTAATCAGACTGGCAGCTGGGACCCTGCACCGTCCCTTTCGGAAGCTACAAAGCACTGAAGACCTTATACTCGTGGCGGGGGTGGGGGCAGTAGTTTGGGGTCAGATTCGGGGAGGCGTGCAGACGGTACCTTGGAGGTGCAGGTGGGCTCGGAGGCTTCTCGGCGGCCTGGGCGAGAGGGTCCAGGGAAGAACAAGAGCACAGGTTAGGACAAACGGCTGGGATGCACCTGGCAGGCTAAGAAGGTTCAGGTCTCAAGAGTTCAACACTCACTTGGTCGCTGTCACTGTCTTCACTATCACTGAGTTGCAGGTCATCCTCGAGCATGCTGGGAAAAAGAGATGGACAGAGGGACTCTGAGAGAACTCCTAACAATTTTTTGGCAGATAACTAGGACACATGCTGGAGATACCGAGAAGGAGGGGGGCAAATAAGCTGGAGGCCTGTGCTGTCTGCTTGCTTAACTTAATTTTCTAGAAACACAAGTTTTACCATTTGAACGCTGAGAACATATCAATCAGCCAAGCTCCTTCCAATGCCAAAACCTGAAATCCCACATGTTTTGGACCAGGTGGGCACTCCCAATATGCCGAGACGGTGTCCTCAGCTAACATGTATGCACAGCGAGTAATCCAGAACTTCCTTCCTCAGAGAAAAGTGGAATAAATGACTATCCTACCACACGCTGGTGCTGGATGGATGCAAAGTACTTCAACAGTGCTAAAGCAAGCACACGACACTTCATGACAACTGGCAATAAACAGTGATCTGTATTTTTGTCCAAAGGGCACTATTTTTCATAGGCAAAAACAAACAAACAAACAAAAAAATTAAACATTCTCTTTTGTCTGCTTGGATACAAATCAATGTTCCAATTAATTTAATTGGTAATACAAATAGCCCTTTTGCTGGTAAGAGTATATTTTGGCCTTACTGGTGGGGAGGAAAGCCAGCTCACTTCCTAAAATTTGTATTTCTACACATTGCTAGGCATTCTGGCTTATGACATTTTCTTTTTAAAAATGTTTCTAAATAAACTGTACACTTTTTTTCTCCAATATGAGCACTCACCCTCCATCTTAAGCTTTCTCCACGGAGAACCCCGTGTCAAGTGTGTCAATGTCTCTCACATTTCTCTCCAATTTTTGTTTTGTTTTTGAGATACGGTTTTTCTGTGTAACAGAACCCTGGCTGTCCTGGACTCACTTTGTAGACCAGGCTGGCCTCAAACTCAGAAATCCACCTGCCTCTGCCTCTCAAGTGCCATAATTAAAGACATCTGCCACCATGCCTGGCCCTCTTTCCAATTTTATAAGCATAATTATTACCAAAATGGAAAAAAAAAACTCTTCATATATTACTTATGTTCCAGAAAGCAAACTTGAAAAAAATCATTCAGTAGATCTCAAAATACCTCCTCAGTAATTGGACCAGCAATTCCTACTGTAGCACCATGAAGTAGGAAGGCATGGTTCCTTCAGGAAGCCCTAGTTTTTGTTTTGTTTTATTTTTAAGCACTACATTTTCCAATGGGATAAATTATAAAACCGGACTTTTCATGAATGGCCATTTGTGTGTGCTGTGGTGATTCTACCAAGGAACTATTTCACCAGCTCATGAAAAAAAAAAAAAAAAAAAAATTCCCAAATAAGTTTTTTTTTTTAAATGAAAATTGAAGCTGGACATGGTGGCTCAGGCCTTTAATCCTAGCACTCTAGAGACAGAGACAGACTGATCTCTGAGTTCAATTGAGGCTAGCCTGGATTTAGAGTTTCAGAACACTTAGGACTACACAGAGAAACCCTGTCTCAAACAAACAAACAAACAAACAAACAAACAAACAAAAAAAAAAAAACCAAAAAACCACAAAACCAAAAAACACAAGAAAAATCGAAAGAAAAAGAAAAATTTTAACTACTTGTAAATTGAAGATCTTTGCTTGGTGTTTACCAAACTAAATTCCAATTTTACCATGGCCTTCAGTCATGGGACCTGGCAATGGGCCATCAGAAGGGTATGCAAAAAAAAAAAAAAAAAAAAAAAAAGTTACTTAACAGGTTTGCTGCTAGGTTGGCTTTGCCAGGAGACACAGCAAAAACTAAAAGGGATTAACTTGGGAGAGAGGGGAAAAAAAAAAAAACAGGTGTGTGACACAGCAGGGCGGGAGGCTGGCAGGGTTGGGAGGCTGGCAAGGTTGGTGAGGTGTACTCAATATGAGCCACCACCAACAAAACCCCAGAAGAAACATTGTCTCCTAGTTACTGTGTTGCTTTTGTACAAAACCAATCTTTCTTAATTTTCTGTACCACAAATGATCCTGTAATCTCACCACACTCCCACCCACAGCACAGACTTAAAAATTATCCTTCCCCATGTACTGAAAAACAGCTAACTTCTACGGCTATACCCTCCTAACAAGTCAAGGCACACACCGGAAGTCGTGAGCTCATTTGGAAACAGCAGGCACCGTGAAAGTTCTATACATTTCTCCTTCCAGTTACACAGGCTGAGAAGTTGATAATAAAAGGTGTGGTGATGGAAAAGCTACTCAGGACTTTTAAAGTGGAGACACTGCTCAGTGAAGGAGAATGCTGAAGACAGACCTCAGTACACAGAGAAACCCTGTCTTGAAAAACTAAAAAACAACAAAACAACAACAAAAAAAGCATAAGAAATTCAGCCAAAAAGGTGAAATGAATCCTATCACTTATGTAAAATTTAATATAAGATATTAGTGCAATTTAAACACTCAGTGTTTCCCATGGTCTAAATCTGTTAGCAATTTTACTTCATAAAGAGAAAGCTGGCCAGGCCTGACTTGGTGGCAAATGCCTATAATCTCAGTGCTCAGGAGGATCTGAGTTCAAGGCCAGCCTGCTCTACACAGAGACCCTCTCTCAAACAAACCAACAAAATGTCATGGGCCAGTGAAGTGCTTCAAAGTGAGGCAGGTTTGTGGAAGCAGGGTGCCTGCACTTGGACCCCTGGTCCCAACTGGTAGTGAGGGGGGCTGCTGCAGGTTGTATTTCCGCCTCCACAACCGTCATCACTCCTGTGGACAGTCGGTAGGTAAGTAGGCACACGGAGAGAAACCAAAAACAGACATGGTGGCACATGCCTGAAAAGCTGACACTTGGGAGGTGGAAGGCAGGGGCGGGAGGATCAACTGCAGGGCAAGTTCAAGTTCCAGGCTAACCCCAGCTACATGAGACTGCAGAAAAACAAAAACAAAGGGCCGACATGTGTCATATGAGAATCAGCAGACAGAAGCGTACTGTCGGTGTCTGCTGATGCAGCCGGGAGCGGCCAGGAAGCCTTCCAGAAACCGGTTTAAACATCACCAGATGAGGGTGACTCAGCACGCGGCAGCCGGCCACCGTACGACGCCTACGGTTTAGCTTATCTAAAAGTCATGATCAGACCTTGCTTGGTGGGAGAAATTCCTGAGCGCTGTTATGATTTTTAAAAAGCAGAATCTGCAGCTGAGGAAAATGGAGGTCGCGCACAAGAGGGGTCGGGAGCAGAGGCTGCTCGCTGCTGATTTTCCCAAAAGAAATCCATGTTTGGTTTGGTTTGGTTTGGCTTTTGGCCGTTTTGGGTTTCGGCTTTTTGGGCTATTCTGTGAGGGGACTGGCTCCTGAGCACGCAGAATGAGGTGAAATCACAGCTGGGTGAGCACTTTGCATCCTCCTAATAAGAAAGGAAATCTCCCAGATCCGGTCCTGTCCTGTCCATGGAACCTAGGTCGAGGGAGCAGCAGCCCCCATGGAGGCGTCCTTCCTCACCCACAGTGAATTCTGAGGCCAAAGCAAAGGCATTTATTTCCACTTCGTGTTCCTGAGCCCAGAGCGCGGCTCACCATGAAGTGCTGCCTGGAGCACTGTGGCTGCAGCTCAGTGAGCAAACTCACACTTCCGGCTCCTGAGGTTCAATTCTCAGAAAAGGGAAGAAGCCAGAGTTAGGGAAGATGGAGAGGGGAAAAGAGAAGGGGGGAGGACAGGAGGGGGGTTGGATGAAAAACTAGGCAGGCTGAACAACCAGCAGCCCCTTTAGTGAGTGAGTAATGAGTAAGGGGAAAATGGCCGCTTTACCATAGAACTGGGGTGCAGAGTCCATCCCTATGCTGTGAGATCTGGCTCTGACCCATCGCTCGATAAACACAACAATTTGAGGATCTGACAGAATTAAATCTATGTTCTACAAGAAATATGAGAGACCTCAATTTAGCATAAAACGGTAACTATCCTATTAGGATGAATACGCCAGTCTCCCTATGAAAATTAACTAAACCCTCCCACACTTTAACTGATCAAATGCCTAACGTCATTTCCAAGCTCCAAGGTAAAGCCCTCAACAATCTGTGTCCTGTGCTGTCCTCCGAGCCCACACTGTTCAAAGGGAGCCAACTATTCCAGGAAAGGAACTCTGGGCCACAACAGAAGAGTGACAGCACTTCTAGTCCAGGTGAGGTCAGCCCGCACATCCATGACACAGACAGCCCGGAGCCTCTGTGCAAATGCCTTCCGTAGTCTGGTCCTCGGCAAGAATGCATGGAGCCAGGCCCGCTCTGGCAGCTGTGCGTCCAGCATTACTGTATGAAGACAGAGAGACAAGTCTTTCTCCCATGTCTACTTCCTAGGACAGAGCTTCTCCAGGGACTTCTCTGCCAACATTCTCAACACCCAAGATTCTCAAAACTACTTAAATAAACTCACCTCTGGCTTAATTTTTAGCACTCGAGAAGGAGCAAGTGGGGTCAAACTAACAGCGGCTACCTGTAATTGGTTTCTTTTTGAAATAGGGCAGAAATATGGGCCACGATTACCTTGTGGGAGGCTATGGGAGGGTACAAATTATAAAGAGGATACTACATATCATAAATAAAAAATCAGATCATAAGCTATTATAATAAAAGGCTGAGAAAAAAAGAGAAAGGAGGAGGATGAGGAAAAGGAGGAGAAGGAGGATAAACAGCAGCTAAGATCCTTACTGTCAGAACCTCTAGTTTTTCTCCAGAAACATGCAAAACACTTCTTTCTATGTGCAGGTTAACTTAGTCGTCATGTGCACACCCATAACCCTCTGTGCTCGAGCTCCTGAAAACAAGATGTCCCTTGTCAAAGAACCAGGTGTAGAACCGTGCTCTGCTGCGGCGACGCTTACAAAGCACTATCCACAAACATACAAAGGAACAGGTTCCTTTGTTCCTGAAGTAGTGGGGAGAGACCCCAGCACCTAGAAACAAAACTTCCACCTGACTCCTTTCTTTTCGATGATACTGCCCTGTTAACAACACTTTCAGTTAGAGCTGCCAGTGGGTCTCCAACTATGACATCAGTGTGAGCTAACTTCTTATAGAATGGCAAAGAGAAAAATTACTTTTCTTAGGTTAAAATGATTTAAATTAACTGGGACAAGCCAACTGTGTCGGCAGACCCCGCTCTAAGGGATATCTTGGGGACCAGGGGTGCCAAGTATCCAGGCGCCTGAGTAAGGCCCACAGTTCAATCCCCTGCATCACAGAAAAACAAAACACGATAAACAAGGAAAAGCCATGTGGAGCCGTTCAGTTGACATTAGGTCCTGATGTGGTGCTTCAGTAGTAGCGCACTAAGCTGACATTGGCCCTCCCGCGCCTATCATGGAGGTGTTTAAAAGCTAGCACTACAGACCAGCTGAATACTTGAGTTTATTACAAAACCATCACACTTCCCCTGGCGCCATTAACTATGCCCCTTCCGTCTCGTCTCTGTCTTCATAACTGAAGTGCCACATTCCCTCTTTTAGACACAGTCTTCCAGGTAAGGGAAATTTCAAATGGGAAGGAAAAATATGACTTCTGTCTTTCATTCCTTTATTCAAAGTAGGGGCTGATTTCGGAGGCCGAGAAGAAGGGATGGAAGTGGCCTTTGGCGGGGCTTATCACTGATGGGGGAAGAGAAGGCAGCTGAGGAGCAGCGTCTAAGGCGTGAGCCCTCCGGAGCGACTGTTCTGCACTCCCAGAGAGGACCCGACAGGGGACTCGATGCCCTCAGGGAGAGGGCTGTTCTGTGTGTTGAGCCAAGACTGCAGATCTACCTCTTGGAAAGGAAAGCTGACTGACAGCCAAGCACCCTTAAACAAACACACCCGCCCTTGGAGGCGAACAGCACTCACACCTTAGCCAATCGGTTACCGGCAGAACTCTGCTGAAGGGGTCCGCTGAAAAGCAACTAGAGCTTAAGGCACATGCACACAAAAGCAATGTGTGCAAATAGACATTTCCTTTGTGTATACATTCTGCCACCACTTGGCTCTTCCACTCAGACTAGACAGAAGCAAACAGACGAAGGGGAAGGGCTGTGGCCTCACTCTTCCTTTAAATGTATCAGCTAGAACTGGCAAAACTTAGGTTGATTTCTTTACGCCAGAGTTTAAATAACCCCTGCAATTAACAATTGTGATGTGCAAGGGACATTAGACTATCGCCCTAACACTCCACCTGCCACTCAAACAGCTCAGCTACACCAGTGAGTCCGAACGCTGTCACCGGGTCACCAAGAAACTGACACACCAAGTGTGAGAACAGCCCAGGGTAAATCAGCCGGGATGCCACGCTCACACGCTCTCCACTACGGGCAAGCGCAGAAAAGGAGTTCCTGCCTTCATTGGGCATGTCCCACTCTGGCACTCATCAATAGCAGGAACCCAGAATCCCACAGCACTCCTGAGTCCGCACAAGCCGTATCCTCTATCTGCCCAGCCTCCCCCGTCATCTACCTGCCCTGGTCCTCTCTGTACCTCGCCCTGAGTCTCTGAAGAGCAAAGTCCTCACTTCCAAAGTCTGTTTTCATTTAGGAGATTCACGGGGTCATGGGGTCTACACTGCAATGGGCTTTCGGGCTTCTCTGATTCCCATGGTGCTGTTACTAGGACACTGAGCCTATGTGCGATGGGCAGGGGAGGAAGTGACCTCTGCTTCAGCGTGCAGAGACACTGCGACTTCCTGCCCTCCATGCTCTGCCCATCCTGCCTCTGCTGGACTGGCTGCCGGGTGAACACTGGGCTTCAGTTCTCCCTCCGGGGTGCCCCTAAGACAATGGCCAGCACCTTCTTCCATGACCCGGCTTGCCTCCACCCACCACAGACCTGTGCAGAGCCTGACAGCCTGGGGCAGTCTTACCGGCTCCCACAGTGCTGACCCCTGGCCCTACCACCTTCTTTCTTGCCACAGTCTAAGCCAGTGACTCAAAGCTGAAGGCACAAAACAGAAAAGGGAAAAGGCAAGTGACAAAGTGTAGTTAGGTTTGTCGTTTTCAAGCAGAGGATGTTAAGCAAAAACTTGGTCTCATCCACCAAGACCACATTAAAATACACTATTAAAAAAAAAAAAACCCATACTTCAAAGGATGAAAAGTTATCTATCAAAACTCTTAGGCAACTTCTCACTTTCTATGCTAAAATGAAAATCATTCCATCAAGAGCTGGTCTTTGGTAATGAAGACTTAGGCCCATCTCATTCAGCCACACCAACATGGAACAATCTTTTCTACTCAATAGATGCTTTTTGGTAAATGATGCCCGTCCTCCAAAATACAAGGGACAAACACTGATCCTAAAAAAAAAAAAAAAAAAAATAGAAGCAGCAGGCTGGAGAGATGGCTCAGCAGTTAAGATCACTGCCGGTTTTTCTGAAAGACCCCAAGTTCAAGTCCTAGCACCCACATGGTGGTTCGCCACCATCTAAAACTGCAGTTACAGGGGCTCAACGGCCTCTTCTGGCCTCCTGGGGCACCACACACCCAGACCAAAGGAGTTTGTTCCCTCTCTCTCTCTGGGACAGCAGAACTCTGAGAGTACCCGTGCGGCCATCGAGCACGTCAGTGTGCTTGTGACGCCTCCGACAAGGAGGGAGAAGCATGCTGCATCGCTTAGGCCCCGGCAATCACATTCAGGGGGAGGGCGAAGAGGAAGAAGGAATTTGACTTTTAAGAAATAAACTGGGTCAGCATGCTGATTAAACATCTATAATGTGAAGACTAAGTGTTCCAAAAACCCAGAATACATTTAGACATGCCTGGCCTGGAAAAGAACATCTGGGTGGCAGAACAGGCTGCTGACATTAAATAGGCTGGAAAATGGCAGAAAATCTCATTCCACGCATCTCCTAAATTGAATTGCCAAAGCTAAAGCTACTTAAGTTTGAAATTTTAAAAGCTAAAGCCTTTTGAGTTCCATGATCAATGCATAAATAATGGCTCAAAACCTTCTCTCCAGAAAACCCTCAGCGGTGTCCTATAGTGCATAACCCTTGACTCAGCAATAACCGAGTCACTTCCTGTGCTGTGCACCCATGTTTTATGGTCGTCATTAACTGAAAGGAGGAGAGGGAGTGATCTACATAATGAGCTTACATGGGAAAGTTCAATGTCACGTTATCAAATTTTAATAAGTGGAGTTTGGTTTTCTTTTTTTACTTACGATGTTCCTTGCTGGGAATTAGGGTGGGTTTTTGAAGGCGCATCATACTGTTCTGTGGGAAGGAAGACACAGTCAGAGAGAAGCACGGACATATACACATTTATACACTCGCTCACTCACTCGCTCTAGGTGCCCTCCTCAAGGCTTCTCCCCGTTACCCAGGCACAGTACCAGTTCTGTACTGGCCCCTGCATTTGGTGCAGCCTCTCAGGACAAGCTCTTGTCCAGGGCTGCTCTGAAAGGAGCTTGCGCACGCCACCCCCACCTGCTCGGGACTGTGGGGGACAGTTTCTGCTCTTCATGATGGTTGGCTGGGCTCCCGGGGGTGCTCCATGACAGTGCTGTCCTCACAGACCACCTGGCTTCACTCCCAGGTCCGTCCGTGACTGCCCAGCCTCCGACCCACCTGTCCCTCCTGGGGCCACACTCCCATGGCCTGATTCATTCACTCAGCAGCTATTTATAGACTGCCTCGTGGAGACCAGTGTGTTCAGACATCTGGCCCGGTCTTCAGGCGTGCTTATGGTTGCCTGAGGGACATGAAACAGGCCCACAAACATACGCAACCTAGGGCAGTGTGAGGTAAGTGCACGTGGCAATTAGGTAAGCTTACTGTCTGAGACTCCAGAGCAGCCCCACATGACCAAAGAAGGCAAACCATAGAAAGCATGAGATGGCTGAATCAGAGAATCTGTGGGGTTCTGCCGGAGTGAACACAGGAGCGGCTTCAGGAAGACGGAGCCTCGTGTGGAGAACAGGAGGGATCAAGCCCCATCTCTGTCCTGAGTGAGGATGGCTGTGGGGTGCGGCGCACTGGCCGGGGACAGAGGGGAGAGTCGGGTTCACAGAACTGGACCCAGGACAGCACAGGGGTGCCACAGAAAGATCAAGCCCGAGTACTGCCCTGTATCCTAAAGGGAACAGAGTGAGGCAGGGTGCTGGCTAGGAGGCAGCCCCCGCCTGGACACAAGGTCAGCAGATGAATGGCGGACATCAAGTTCTTGTTGCAGTTACCCACTCCCTCCTCATGGTGGCAGCAGCCCTCACACTTTCAAACTGCGGTCCTGTGGCCTAGCTAAAGCTCCGGACCACAGGGATTCACAAGGACCCCTGTGAGGTCATCCTGACCAGACTGCAAATTGACAGCTCTAGACCATGTAGTCTAGGCTCAGACATAAACAACAAGATACTCACACAACCATTACACTTCTCTCCATAGACTCCCAAACCTAAGTTTTGGATAAGTCAACCAAGTGTTAGAAATAAAGAATTAAGAATTGACTGGGCAGCGGCGGTGGCGCACGCCTTTAATCCCAGCACTCAGGAGACAGAGGCAGGCGGATCTCTGAGTCTGAGGCCAGCCTGGTCTGCAGAGTTCCAGGACAGCCAGAGCTGCACAGAGAAACTGTCTCAAAAGACCAAAAAAAAAAAAAAGAAGAATTCACTTGCTGGCATACTTTGACAAATACTGTGGTTAAAAAAAAAAAAAAAAAAAAATCAAGACCAAAAAGCAAGTTGGAGTGGAAAGGGTTGATTGTGTCTTCGGCCTCGGTGGTGCCGCCATCCCAGGGAAGTCAGGGCGGGAACCTGGAGGTAGGAACTGAAGGAGAGGCCACGGAGGAGCATTGCCTACCGGCTTGTTCCTCATGGCTGGCTCAGCCTGCTTTCTTTTTGCACCCAGGACCACCAGCCCACAGGTGACGGGCCCACAGTGATGGGCCCTCCCACAATCAAGAATATACAGCACAGTCTTGCCTGCAGGCCAGTTTGGTGAGGGTATTTTCTCTACTGAAGCTCCCTCTTCTAATGGGGGCCCAGCTTGTGTTGAGTTGACGCGAAACCAGCTCGCACACTGCGCTCTTCAATGGAGTCTGCATTCATCCATACAGCTCCCTTTCAGAAAGGCCGCGTTCTCATTAGGATAACAGTCCCAAAATATCGAGAGGAGAGGCAGCAGCACTCCAGATGCGCTGAGCTTAGCAGCGGGGAGGTGACACCCGGCAACACCGCCAGTGTCTAGAAGCTCCAAGGCTGCACAGGCCAAGGAGTGCTTCAGGCCCAGTCAACAGAACTTACACTTCATCTGCCACTGACCTGACGGCAGGATGGTGAAAGGTTCTGTCTTTCTAAAGTTAGAACCAGCTGCCACACAGCCATGGCCCACGGGAAAAAAAAAAAAAAAACCCTGCTGACAGAAACGGACAGAAGGGAGGGACATGCAAGGAGAAGAGGCACACAGAAACCCTGTCCACAGCTGGGCTGGCATCCATGGGCAGGACCATCCACCACCACACTGGTCGTGCAGCCTCAGCCTGCCTGCCCAGGTGTTATGTCCTAGCATAGCTATCAATTCCCATCAACTGTCTTGACAACTCACACTATGCTGGAGCGATAGAATCGGGGCAGGACGGAGAAGCCATTTGGTTCTGACTTATTTGCTAAGTGGCATCCTATCTCTCCAGACAGAACAGGAAGCCTGGTCTACTCCCATCAGACAACAGAGTGAGTCAGGTTTAAATGTCGTATGTATGCATATGAAACCACCACCCGGATAAAACACTCTACTCTTGAATCCAGTTCCTAGGATACACTACTTGGAGAGCTGTAGTCAGCACAAACGTGTCAGCTGGATATGTTACCACACACCTTTAATCCAGCAGGGGCAGGTGGATCTGAGTTTGAGACCACCATGATCTACCGAGGGAGTCCCAAGACAGCCAGGGCTACACAGAAAAGCCCCTTCTTGAAAGTCAAACAAACAGAAACAATAAAAATAACCACATGTCATGTAGTATTAGCTTATGTTTGTTTAGAATTTCGTGAGACCAGGTTACTTCACACTGCCCACGGGGCGGGTGCCCGCTCTGCACCTGCTTCCCCTATTCTCTGTGGGCATCTGTTACACATGAACCCCCCCAACCACCACCGTTAGCATTTACTGTTTGAAAGGCGATGCAGGCTGCACACAGTCACTTACTTTGGCTTTGGGTTGCAGAGCTGCTGTGCAGAGGCTCCTACGAAGAAGAAGAGTCCATCGTTAGGGCTGAGGGTTAATGCCAACAGAGCAACACCACGCAGGCTTTAGAGTCAAACGACAGTTTCATAGAGCTCAAATGCAGAGGAAAAAGAAAGGGCGGTGATGAGCAATCTTCTCACTGCTCTCCTCCACTGCACTGCAGGACACAGGGTTTCTCTGTGCAGCTTTGGCTGGCCTCGAACTCCCAGAGATCTGCCTGCCTCTGCCTCCCTGAGGGCTGGGGTTACAGGTGTGCGCCACTGCACCTGGCTGCTTCAGGGCTCCCTGAGAATGTCCTTTTCCTTTGGGGTTGGGCAGCTGTACTTGCATAGTTTAAGGCTTTGTCTTGAGACCATTACTAACGGTATGGTATAGCTCCTAAAAGCAGAACAAGGCGAAGGGTTTCCTGTAACTGTGAGTGTATGCAAATCTGGCCAGAGCGCTCAGACGTGCTCCCACACACCCTGAAAGTTATTTGAAAGTGTACACTGGGAATGGAGCGGTGGCTCAGGGGTTAAGAGCACTCGCTGCTCTTCCAGAGGCCATGGTTTGAGTCCCAGCACCAGCAACACAGTTCACACCTAGCCAGTACACCAGTACCAGGGAGCCATCACCCTCTTCTGGCCTCTGTGGGCACTGCACACACGTGGGGCACAGACACAAGTGGGCAAAACACCCACACACATAAAATATTTTACAAGTGTAAACCAGAAAGGAAACAGTGGCTGTTTCGAAACCCCACTTCAACCAAGTTAGGTGACCATTCTGTTGTCATGGAAACCAGCGTTAATATTAGCGCTTCACTCGAACCGAAAGAACCACATTCATGCAATGTATGTGTCTAGAAACCCAACTAAGTCACTCTGTGTCGCTTCGTTTCCCCTCCCTGTTTTCGGAGGAGAAGCCCTCAAGAGAGAAACTGGGCTCTGGGTGCTGCAGGATAGAGAGATGATCTGTGAGATGTTCTTACTGACGGGAGGAGAAGGAATTCTGAGAGCCATGGAGGGCAGCAGAGCCCTGCCGTGAGCTTCGGGCTCATCCCTGCCATTCCAGGCAGCGGCCTCTGCACGCGGCAGGCACCTCGCCTGTCACTCACCCTGCCTTCTCACGCGGAGGACACCACATCCGTCTCGGGATTTGAGGACTTACCTTTGTCGGGAAAGGAAACCTGGACGGCTCGGCGGTACTGGGCGTGTGGATGGCTGTCAGAGGAGGCGGCCATGAGTGGGTCATTTCCTGAGAGGGATTCAGAAGGGGAAGAAGAGGCAGATGTAAGTGAGACGGGCACTGCCAGTTGGCTTTGAACCCGAAACGCACAGTGGGTTGGTGAGCCACAGCAAGCACCATCTGCGGGGCATTTCTCTCGCTTTTGCAACAGCGACCGCTGCAGAGCTCGAGAGCCCCAGCAGGAGGCGCTGGCACCCTCGGGAGCCCCGGGCGCGGGGAAGGCCGAGCCAGGAAAGGCTCAGCACATGCTCCCAGCCTGCTCTGGCTCTTCCCCAGCCCCCAGGAACCAACGGAGTTCAGAGGGAGAACCTTCCTGTTTGCTTCCAACAAACAAGTCATTCAGGCCACCCGCTCCACTCGGAGGGTCTGATAGGTTTGACCCTTCCCAGGCAGCGCCAGCAGCAGATCCAGAAGCAGGAGGCCTCACTTCCTCATCAGCGAAACTTTCATCATTATCCCTGGCTTCATGGCGAAAGCCAAGATTTCTAAAACTTACAATTTACCATGCTTTTCAGCACAGTCATGGTACATATGTTGCTTTGCTTAAAAACTTGAAGGGAGACAGGTATTGCTAAGTGTATAGCCATGAACACACGAATAGGACATAAGCATTTCACGCCTGAAGAGCGTCTTCTTTTACAAATTAAAAACAAACGAACATGACTGCATGACTGAGCCAACTCCGCACAGGCGCGCAGGCAGCTGAGGGCTCCTCTGTCTCCCTGCCTAAGGCAAAGTCATCACAGGACACAGCTGGCTGCACAGGGCCCTTCTTGGCATGCCCTGTCCCCAGGGTCAGGAGCCAGTCCCACTGCACCGCCTTCTATGCACTCCATCCTAACAGCGTGTGCCTGTCAAGGCGCCTCGACGCCATCCCGGCCTCTCAACACCCCCGGGGTGGCACGTGAGCACACAAGGAGACCTTGTGAGCATCAGGCAGTGTGATGGGTGTGCACTCCTAAACCACTCTTAACCACTGAGCCATCGCTCCTGCCCCTGACCTAGGATCTGACTACTTCTTGATAAAAGTGAACTCACGCCTTATCTGCTACAGGCCATCTGCTTTGGCCTAACTCTGTCAGCCAGTAAGAGTGGCCGGAACTAAAAGATACGCTCTGGCCACTTATTTTGTGAGGGTAATATAAGTGAATGCTTGGACACATGGAGTCTAAATATGGGCGTCCGTTTCTTTCTCTCTCTCTTTCTCTGTGTGTGTGTGGTGTATGACATGGAATCTCACCAGCAGCTCTGGCTGCCCTGCCCTGGCTGCTTCTGCAACAGAGGCTCCACTCTTTAAAGTTTCAAGGTCTCATTAAAGAGGCCGTACACAAGAGGTGTCATGGTCACTGTAATGAGAGCAAGAGCATGCACACTCGGGCTGTTCGGAGCCTGGTACCGCCCTGCCGCACCTACCTACATGAGGGAAATAAGCACAAACCTCAGCCCTCGTGGGAAAGCAGAGCTAGGGAAGTTCCTAAAACTCTGATCCAAATTTCTTGCAGTTGTAAACTTCATCTTAGTGAGCAAAATCTGGTAGTGCCAGAGTGGCGCTGCTCACTAAGGTTAAAGTGCCCAGGCGTGTTGTCTGCTTGGTTGGGGAGTTCTTCGGACGATACACAGTGACTACCGACTCACCTTCAGGATCTCCTCGACACAGTGAACTTCACTGGGGTACGTCTGCTGCAAAGGAAACGGAGGAAAGCTCAGTTTAAAAGACTCGGCAGTGGGGCTGACGGGGACAGCAGGTCCAGGTGTGGAAGCATAGGCAGGCCCACTTCAGGCCCACTCTCCACCATCAGAGCATCAGGAAGAGTCAGTCACCAACTCCACCGTGGGGAAAGAGCAGGAAGCTGGAGGCGCGCTCGCCTGCCCACCCCCAAGGAAATGTGACCGTTAGACAGAAGGTGGGGAAACAGTGAGGGCTGGGGACACAGCTCGTCCAGCTTCTGTAAGGTCCCACCAAAGAGGGAAGGGGGGGCTCGGAGAGGAGGGAGAGAACCACACACTGGGAAACCTGAGCGGGCATCGGGCCTGACAGAAACGGAGGCAAAAGCAATCAATCGGGCACCACAGCCTTACAACGGCATCTGCTGGGAAGCCACGCCAAAAGAACACACAACACCGGTGGACCCACACCTCAGAGGGCCCTGCCCAGCCAGGGGGTCTTCACTGCAGCTTCCTACAACTCAGTTTATGTTTGATAATTTCTGTCTGCCTGTCTGTCTGTCCTCACACATCCGTGTGTGTGTGTGTGTGTGTGTGTGTGTGTGTGTGTGTGAGAGAGAGAGAGAGAGAGAGAGAGAGAGAGAGAGAGAGAGACAGAGAGAGACAGAGAGAGATGCAGGTACTCCCAGAAGCCTGAGGAGGATGTCAGAATCCCTGGAACTGGAGACACACAGGGTGGTAAGCTGCCTGTATGGGTGCTACCATTAGAACTTGGGTCCTCTGAAAGAGCAGTATGCACTCACAACCACTGAGCCATCTCTCCATATCCTAAAAACTGGTCTGAAATTAAAACTGAGTCTTACCTCACTTCTGGAATTTTTCATATAGAAGCACACATAGACATAAGTGCACACGCCTCCATGTGCCGACCTTGATTTTTTTAACAGGCCTTCTTTATTTAGGGTTATTAAGGGCTTCTACCTCCCTTCTAAAAGCCCAACACCGGGTAAGGGGGAAAGGTTAGTGGTGACAGGGGCCAGAGTTCTCTCTGCTAGTCTTCGCTGGGTAGGACTCTTTTGGAGAAAATACCAATTATCAGTCGTCCAGAAATCCGGAAGTCCAGGTAGCCAGTGGGTCAGCAAACAGCAAAAGCAACAGCAGGACGGACCGGCAGCGAGCAGCCCTCCTCCAAGCAGCCCCCCCTTCTTCCTCTGGGCTGTCATGTTTACACCCCTCTAAGTCCTCAGAATTCAACTAATTCCAGCTGCCAAAGAATCACGTTCCACACCAGACACTTAACAGGTGTGCACAAACTAAAATCCCCAAGTTGGAGTTTTAACGAAAATATGTTTACATCTCATAAACCAAAACAGCCACAACATAAAGGTGCAGAGAAGACAACACGGGACTGAGGAGGTGCAGAGCTTAGAGAAGCAGAAAGCATCAGAGGCAGGAGCTATGGCTGATAGTCTGCATGTACTTTTAAGTACAAAGAAAACAAGGCTAAATCTAAAACAATGTCACTGCATTAGACGCACAGACCGCAGCCTACACAGCAGTTTTCAACAGCCCCTTCTGTTCTGTGTCACCATCACACGGTGAGCACCATACACGCTGTGCCACTGTCACACAGCGACGGGAGCCACCTCAGGGGCAGCAGGCGGAGGCCAAGCAGCCTGTCCCTCGGGCTCAGCTATGGCTTAACAGTGTCCTGATCCTGTAACAGCGGTTGCTAATCCACAGAGGGCTTGTTAGTCCACCACTGTCTCTTTACAACTTAAGGGCAGTAAAAGGAAAACACAGAACATCACTTGCACCATGTTGTAACCGAGTCTAGTGGTCAAACTCAGTGTGTTCTGCATATGAAATAAACACCCTTATCAATGGTAGACATTTTTGGAGCTTGTTATTTCTGAGGCATGGACAGGAAGTTCAGAGGTACAAGCAGAGAGGGTTAAGGAAACCCCTACTCCACCTCATCCATGGAGCCCATGGCAAAACTACCTCTCGGTTTCCAAAAACCTGGACCACACAGTAGTGCCACAGTTAGCATCAATGTCAGATATGGGCATAAAATAGGAACATACACCAGTGTCAGTGACTGACATCCATTGTTAGAAAAAGTCACAACCAGCAGTGAAAGTGAATCAACACAGAGACTGGCTGGTACTCTAATGTCTCTGGACAACAGTCCCCTCCTCCTGCCTGAGGCAAGGGACGAAGGCGGGAACGCAGGCAAAGTGACTGGCAATCAATGAAAATGGCAAAGCACGCTCTAATGAGGACCAACAAAAGAGCTTTGCAATTATTCCCAAAGCATGGAATGAGGTGGGAAGCAGCCCTCCAAGACAGCACTTGGTTTCCGGAGCTCTGTCCTGCCCACGTCCCCACGCACGCACGGGTGAGCTGCTGCAGCGCTGGTTCGTGCCCTTCCTTCCCAACCCCCCTATGTGCTCCAGGCCACTCTGAACCTGTATTTAAAAGAGAGGGCTGGTGAAGTGACTCCGTGAGTTCAATCCCCACAAGTCACACAGTGGGAGAACCAAATCACAGCTTTCCTCTGACCACACACTCCACTGAGAATAAAGGTGAAACAAAAAGGAGGCCACGAAGAGGGTCAGTGTAGCAGCTCGGGTCTATCAGATGTCCCTGTCTCTTCTCTCCCCCGAAATCAGAGTCAGAGCAAGTCAGAGCACTGCATGCAGTAAGGACTGACGGCCTCCCGAGGTAACTCCGAACCTCCAAGTCTGTACCGAAAGGAAACTTCCACAAAGGGAGGAGATTCTGCTAATCCTGCTCTTAAAATCTGCATCCCGAATTCCCCCCATACCCCCTACTCCCCAACCCCTACCCCTGGCTTCAGGTCCCCTACTGTTGTCTGGCTCCTGCTGAGCACAGACAGGCTCTCCCTGCAGCTCTTGCCAAAGAATGAACAACCAGTCCTGGCCAAGAAGCTGCGACTTGATGGCAGATTTTTAAAAAGACCTCCTATGGAACACAAGCTAATAATAAAGCACAGCAGCAAGATCAGTAATTGACAATCAAGAAGAGCAGGGCTGTCCCTACGGGAATGCGGGGCCGAGTGACCACCAGACCTCACTGATGTCTCCACACTTGGTGTCCACAGCCCTGGAGCTGGCAGGCCACCGCTGCTGCACCTCAGTGTCACCTCACATGGGACCTCCGTAGAGACCACACTCCGGCAGGCTCACTTCCCCACTGGGGTACAGTCTCCGTACGAGGTCAACAGTGCCATTCATTCAACAGGGAGCAGAGCAGCTACTTTCTGAACTCGTACTCGGCAGGCACTCAACTCTTTACATCGTAGTATTTCCTCACATTGATACCACCGACTATAAAGCTGATTGCTAGCCTGGCAGGGGAAAGTTACCCCACTGAATACAGCCATCAACCCTACGGTACACACACTCTTTCACAAAACCCTTCAGAGTGATTACACTGTCTCAGAGAATGGGGTATAATATCTAGTTTCATTCTCAGATCAACCACTGTGGTAGGCAGTTTTTACAAAAGGCAAACTAAAACTGTGCGTCACACAAGGTCACACAAAAGCTCTGAAACAGCAAGCCAAGCTTCAAGATCCTGTCAAACTGGCTTTCCGAAACTGGCTGTCTGCGCCTGAGACAAACACGGCAGCATTTGAGGAAGAACAGTTTCTGTTGTGTCCATGACCAAACACCATTCGTTAAGCAGCGGTGTGTCTTCATTTCCTTCTACAAGGCTGCCTGTTAGGGCTCACATTTCACTGCCTCGTGCTACTAGACCATGCAAACTTTTCAGAGCAGACAAAGCAGAATGCAGGCCATGGCCTCTTAGGAATAACAGTATGGATACCAAGAGCGTTTGCAAAGGTCTTCCGACTTTGTGTTAGTAAGCTGAAAGAAGCGAACAGAAGCAACACGGAAACAATCACTCCTGCGGCGCTCAGTTTGGCATGAAGTTTCAACAGAACAGCATTTTTGCAATGATGCTGTTTTCATGAAAGGCTTGCCAGGAAACAGGGGCCACAGGGGCTGGACACTGAAGAGGGGAGCCAGATCCCAGCTTCTCCACGATGGCTTTGCTCAGGACCTGCTCTGTGATCGTGGATGAAATCCAACCTGCTGGGACTATTTCCTTATTGTGATGAAGGAGAGTATTAGCACATCTAACCACCTGGCAGGAGCAGTGTGAAGGAAGTCAAGCGCACTGCGCACCGCCATGACAATGTAAAAGCTGGCATGAGGAATGCCCAGCGCCGACATGAGTTAGCAAAGTGCTCTTTAATAACGTGACTGTTTCAAAAAGGAATTCCGACAAATTCTCATAGAAACTTTTCTTCAAATACACTGCCTCTTGGATTGCTACCTGCTTGCTATCTGCTTCTTCCCTCCATCGCTGGCTCAAGCAGTTGTGTGCCTCTTGTCTCTGCCTGAAATTCTCCCTCTCCGAGCCAGGGCGCGGTGAGGACACGCCCTGCTGCTCCCCTTTGCCCAGGTTGCCAAGATGTCCCCGAGGCCGCTCCCCGAGGCCGCTCCCCGAGGCCGCTCCCGGAGGCGTCCTCTGCTATGCCATGACTCCCCCAGAGCTGTGGACACTGTGGAGCTCCCCCAGGCTCATCTATACCCCATTACATCACTTCCCCTGCTTTTTCTAGGTTAGGGAAGCAGGGGGCAGCCTCCCTCGCCCCCACCTGACTACACACTACCTGCTGCTTAAGGGCACATGCTGCTCTTCCAGAGGACCTGGGTAGGAATCCCGGCACTCATACCTGTAAGTCCAGTTCCAGGAGAGCCAGCCGCCTCTGGCCTCTGCACAGAGGGGCACACCAACCATGCACATGACAGCGCACATGCAGGCAAAGCACCCACACACACTGCAGAAAGATTTTAAATAACTTCAAACACTAGGTGCTGTGGGCTGTTTGAATTAGAAAGCGACACCTGAGTAACTACGGAGCAACAAGCATGTGCAGAGAGTACAGGAAACATCTGTCCCTGTTTCTCCTCAGGAAC